TACGTGAAACATACTTCCTTTACCACTTGGTTCGTAAATGGATTTTGTCTCACAATTTCCTCACGGACATCACAACGGATTTACCAAAGTGGCTACAAACGAATTACTGAAATACTTATCATTCGTGTGGCGACTTTATAGAGATCAGACAGTTCAATTTCTAAGAAGGTTTGTGATGTTCTTGGATGTTAAATGCCACCGTTATCATTCTTTCACTCCTAACCGTAGTATACACAACGAAGTGGGTGCTTGTTGGCTCTGATTATATTTCATGCGTTGAAAGTAGCGAAGGAAGTCGCAGCTGACTCGTGGTTAGCTATTGGAACTGCTTTTCACAATTTTTGCGCCTGGACGTCCATTTGCAACTGACTTATCGTATATACTGCTGCTCTGTTTGAAGGTGAGCTGTTGAATGATTATTTTATTATGATTTTGTTTTGGAGTCGTTAAACGTATTCCGATATGCACTTTTAGCTACAAACATAAGTCATAAGTTTCGAACTGAAGTCACACGATTTCAGCAACGACATAGTTGTCCATATACATAACTGCAACAGAAGCTCTCTGCGTGCTCTCCACTTAGTTGCGTGCAAGTCAAGATCCATTTCAAAGTATGCTTCTTAGCTTTGGTCTTTAAATAAAAGTTAAACGGTTAATTACAGAAAATGATGTAAAGAGATTAGAGGATTAATAGCCAGGTGTTTTTATCATATTTCCACTCAGGTTTAAGCCGATTGTTAAGTCATGTCAACAACTTTCTACACTGGAAACACATCCACAATGAGTCGCATGATATTTTAAAATGATAATCAACATTTTCTTTTTGTATTGAACAGATGGTTATTGTAATAAAAATGACCTGTGCTTGGAACTCATTGAAAAGGAAACTGTCGTTAATTAGTTGCGATTAGACAATTTTGACCCAGTTCTTTGAAACCTGTAATCGCATAATTTACTGACAAACTTTCAACTAAAGCTTTTATTATCTTAAAATTCCTTGCTGCATGTTGCTTTTAAGCATCATTTATTTAAGAATATACATGGCAAAGTGGAAAACAGAATTCTTTTTTCCCTTTCTAGTTTACTCTGGTCAAACTAACCGGGCTCTAATGCACATTTAATTCATATACATAGTGTGACGAACTTATAAGATACAGTTACAGGCAGATTATCTAACAATTTGACTTTTTAAAAGTCACACAACTAATTGTTACAGTTCGGAAGGTTCACGGCTCTCTTAAAACCAGGAAAATCTGAGATACGTTGCGGATAGCTAATAAAGCAACATCTCCGAGCAAGCCCATGCAGGGTACGAAAAAATCAGTGGTTGTCTTCAGCAAAAACGACTTGAAGTGTGTAATGTTTGCTGATTTTATCTAACATCTATGTTAATGAAATCACCAGTGTTTGTGTTTCTTTCGATCCACTCTGTTTACGTCCTTAAAAGTGTTGTTTTCCCACGGTTTTAAATGGAACAGGTGAACGGCGATCATTAAATGTCGATGAAGAGCAATATTACATTTCAATCATCAAATATATATCCTTCTTAGGTTTTTTCATCAGAAAGGTTTGTAAGCCTGAAATCAAACAGCTGTTTAGCGTTTCCCTATGTTCAAGAAGTTGAAAGAAATCCACAGAAGAGGGTGAAGTAAAGTGGTTGTTTTATTTTGTCCCCTTTTAGGTGCAATAATGGTAATTGGTAAGATATATTAGTTTTGGTTAAAACAGCTATTTCATTGCGGCCTTCATGGTTCACGCCATTAAAACGAGCTTTACCATGACCTGCGTTAAAACCAAATTCCTTTGACTGGATAGCGTTTTGACTCTAGTAAACATTCGAGATCATTCACCCGTGGTTCTTGATCATCACCATGCAGAGAGATACACTTGTAATCATTGGGCTGCCTTAGGCATAATAAGCATAGCTAAACACATTTTTGATCTTTATTTTCATATGAAGGAAGAAATACTTCTCCATGTTCGTTGTAACATTATGAAGACTTCTTAAACACAGCTAGTCTCCACTTTATTGTTAAAAACCAAATACTGAAGAATATTATGGAACGTTTCTGTTCACTCGCATGCCTTCCATTTTGCCTAGATGCAAAGCTTCTAATAATATGGCCACCGACCGCCCTCATGGATGATCAACATTAAAATTTTCCCATATTTTTCCGACATATTTCCTTTGGAAGGGCATCCAAGAATCTACACCAAATTTGTTTTAAAATTGTTTAGAGATGATCAATAAAAAGCCTTTTTGAGGTATTACTTTCTTTACCGCCAAACTGCGACTATGTGGAGTCGATTGCTGATAAGTCAGAGGTTAAAACGCCGTGTTTACAGCATTCAGCGAGGCGTAAGTACATTTGGTATCAACCAATATAGTTCAGCTCTCCAACCGGATACTCAGATCATTCGTCTTTAGTGGAAATGTACCTTACCATATCTGATGTTAATGGGAAACTGAATTTCTCAATATTGGTTTTTCTTCATAACTGATTCAGACATGGATCAAATGAATCATTGTGTCAGCGACAAAGAATCTAAATGTAAACATGTCATGATTAATGCGGTTTTAAAGAATGGATCAGACAGTTTGACTCCGAGCAATTTTGCCTTAAGGAAACAAATTTGAAATAAATGAAACTCGTTTTATTGCTAAGTTTATTGAAACTTGACGGTCTCGTGTTGAAATATAAGCCACAAAAATAATCATTACTTTTTCGGCCTTGATTAGGAAAAATATTGGAATTGTTAATTCTCAGGAAATACATTTCTACGTTCTTAAATTAACTTGCATTGTGCTTTATTCCCTTCCTTTGTCAGATATGACATTAATGTACATAAAACTCAGCTTTGAGATGCTTTTTTCAGGTGTGATCAGAGTGGCAGGAAATGGTACTTGAAAATTCGTATTTCGTTAGTAACAGTAAACTAATCTCTCATTATAATGTTTCTTTCCATCAAAAATTTGAAGATCGAAAAGAGATTAGTTTGGTCAGCTTAATAACTTGAAATCAACTTTACTGAATGACTACTTTCCCTTGGTGCTGCTCATTTCAGTGATTAGGTGTGGTCTTCATCGACACCGCGAAGAGTGGTTTGCTAAAATATTCAAGATTACATATCTCAGGAAAGGTAGGAGTTTCTTCATTGTACAAATCCGGTAATTAAAAAAAGCAAAGCGCTATTTAGTTTTTGTGTGTTAGCATTAGTAAAGAGTGAATTTAAGGTAACCATTCGCCCTCAGTCGTTTTTGCTTCCATAGAAAGGTTCGAAACGTCGTGGCCGGAAAATTGTTTTAAACATTTCTCTTGAAACATAATTATGATTCCTAGGAATTTCTAGCATCTCTGTCAAAAAGAGATTAACGGTGAGCCAATGACGTTATTTTAGCTTTTTTCGCTATGATTAATCTTTTTCCTGTTTTTCTGTCGACTAAAAAGGAAATTAAATCGACAGGCGAACTCAAAAGCAAGCACTTATTCCCTTAAACTTAGCAATTCCAGGCGATGTTTCGTACACATCTGAGAAACATTTCCTAAATCAGCTTGCCTGCCGCTTGGATAAATATATCCGTTAGCTAAAGGAGAGCCAGCCGAATTCGTCATCAAATATATAATGAGTTTCTTTCGGTACATGTCTTAATGTGTTTTCCAGTTGTGATACCATAAAATCCCACATCGTTGTGGAAGATCAGATGGGCTGCTTGTCTCGAAGTGTTAGTGTAAACTGCTGTCCTGCAGTCGCACAATCGCAGCAGGTTAGTTACTGAAAAGTACTCTAACACCGTTGGAGAGAACTGTAAAGTTGGGTGACATTTTCAGGGTCTTTTTGGAGCAGACCAAAGCGTTAAGAAGAGGTAAAAACATTGAATGAAAATTTGTGGATTTTTCTGGCAATGCGAGGTATAGTTTGTGCTTTCAGGTTCACATGCTGTAGTGAGCTATTGATATAATCAGGACACCACTGGCCTGCCGTGAACTGCTCTTTTTCGGTACGAGTTGTTTGTGTAAAAATGTGTTTGTTTTGTTGTTTTCAACTGTCTGAATTCCATTCTTTTAGAACCTCGTGACTTATAACCTCCAGAGAATACATTGTCTCCAGATATGATGCGGCGATGAGACAGATTGCTTTTTCTTTCTGTTTTGTTAAAAAACAGCGGAGAGAGACAGCCCAGTTTTACTCAAATCTGACCTTACTAACACAAAGATTATTACTGTGGAAATCATTACCAAGAACATCGCTCCAAAAAACTACTAATTCGTGTAGTAAGAATGTTGATTTCATCCGTACGTTGAATCATTTCCAACAGGATCGCATTACGGTTAACCTGACGTATGTTAGATATGCTTACATTGTTCTTGTATTCATGAACACAAGATTGAATTGATAGGTTTTCCATAATTTTTAGATTAGATTAAAAATAGCAACAGTGACATTAGGTAGAGTGTGAGTAGCTAAAAGCGTTGGTTTGGATTGTATATGAGTAATCTCCAGCTCTTCGGCCAAAGAACCCGAATTACTACGCGGTTTCACGTAAAAGAAGCAGAAAAACATACACATGTGAAAGGAGCTTCCTTGCCCTCCATCATTGAGAAATTAATGTCGGCGACTAAGCTCATATTTACTGCTAAGTAATCCATCTCCAAAATGGAAAACTTCAAATTTGCATATCGGCTTGATTAATTTTTCGTGTTTTGATCTCACGACCCAAATTGTTCATGCGGCTTTTATAAAGCAGGTCTTATAAAGAACAAATTGCCCCTTGTGATATCTTTGACATACACGTCTTAGAGTGAAACATTATCTGTCTGCTGACAGGTTGACTTTTGCCCCTTGTCTTAAATTTAGCCATCAGAACAGATTTTCTTTAAAAGGATCGACAAATACACTTTGTATAAAATGGTATACCTAAGCAAACTTTAAGTCAAGCGACACAAAAATAGGAGTCAGGTCCGCCCCTTTTAACAAACTATACATTTTATCTCGAATTCTAAGAAATGCGAAGAATCTTAGGTAAGGAAAGGTAATACGACAAATGTCAAAATTTAGGAGAATCGCGACGTTCCTTGAATACTACAATGCTTACTGACCTGACTAGCATGACATAACTAGAAATTATTGCCTTTCCAAAATTACTTGCATGTCTTCTGGAATGATTTCAAACAAAAGTTTCAAGTGGCGAAAAACACCAGAAAGTTGAATATGTCAAACGAGACTATTGTTCTGAAACTTATGCTGATTTTTTCCTGTTTCTTCATTTAATTTTTTTAACTCCTGTTATGTAATCAGCATACATCATTTTCGCCAAAGGAAAACCGGGAAGTTTTCACCGAAAATCTTTGTTCTTTTCAGTCCTCGATCGCTAGGAAACATTCCGTCACGGCTGGTAATTTTTCAAGTGATTTAAGATCCGGGAACTTTAAGTAATAGGACATCTAGAAAGGAAGCATCAAATCCCTGTGGCAGAAGATCTATAATGCAGATAAACAGTTCAAAATACTGCATGAAACTTATACCCTTCTAAGAGGGGGGATTGTTTTCTGGCACTGGAGAACATAACAGAGTTTCTGACACTAGCAGCATAACCCACGTGCTAGTGACTAATCCTGGAGAGGAGCGCGTTGATACGTGATACAAGGCTTTTATTTCGTTTCGTAAGTGTGACATCTGAGCAATGTGGTAAAAGCGAATCGTTAAATGGACATAAAAGGATTCACCACATGCCACGCTTTCCTAAACTTGTCTGCCTCATCGGTGAACGGATGTGGTTAAGTTTGGTGACCAAGGCAACTGAGTAATCCACACCATTAGTGGCGTAATTAGTTTTTAATCATTCTTCTACATTCTAAAACATTGTCAACGGTGAAAGTACGTGGTTTTGATGTGGCTGGTGGCTTTTAGGCGTTGACTATTTGTATGTACCTTCAATTACTCTGTTTGTCATTTTAGAAGATAAAAAATCTGGTATCTCTGATTCCAAGCTACTTAAAGCGTGCTTTTTCATAATGTCTTTACCCTTTATATACTTCTGTATTGATAAAAAAGAGAGTTTTCAGTCATTCTTGCATGTTCTTTTTAAATTATAATAATAGTAATTAAAAGATATCTTGGATTAAAAAATTTAAAGGTTGTTCAACCGCACCTAACATTCAAAGCTAAAAGCTTTAAACGAAGACTCCTTAAAAAACCTGTGGTTTTTATCCAACAATTATGAAAGAAAACATTGTTGTTTAGTTGAAAAGAGATTGCGTTTCAAAATAATTATTCCTCTACGGACAAAGAGGTGGAGACTGCATGACACACCAAATAAAACTGACCTAGAGGGCACGGATTGAGACATGATCAGGCATTGCTATGACACAAAAAGATCACTTGACGAGATAATTAGCTTAGTGGCGAGCCAATACTACACAACTTCACTTCTTGACAAAGTGCATGCTTCAGACTAATCTCGATGCGATTTTAAGAATCTAGCGAGTTTTGGCTACCAGCAGGAATCCGCAAGTGACCTCTTCACATAAATACCCGTTTTGTTCCTTCCTCTGAACAGAAGGCAAGTAAAGTCAAGAAGGAAAGCATCGAGTTGATGCGGATTTAGAGTTAGATTCAAGACTGGAGAGAGATACAAGTTTGCAAACGCCATGGATGAAACAAGGGTTCGCCTTACACTAGTTTTTATTTGGATGTTATTAGGTAGGTATTTATCACCCGTTTTCAATCTACCATAGTTTCAAATCGACCACAATGTGCCATTGCTTAGGGTTTTGTTGGTCTAAACAACTCCTACAGATCTACAGAATGTTGCGTCTTTAATAAGAATCTAAAACCTTGCTGTGTTATTTTCTGTATGTACTATATATAGTGCTGCCAAGATGCGAAGCCAGTAAAGACAATTGTCTTAACATCGTTCAGTACATTTACCACAGCCTCGGATTAAGAAGTCGTGCACAAGGCACTCCGAATATAGCGGGAGAGTGGACCTCATCGAGGTAGGAACGTATAAATATAATTTAATCAAGTCACACTGATTATTTCAAGGAAATACTACAGTGCGTGTTGTAATCCCGAGGATTAATAAACGTTTCAACAACATAATCCCTGATAAGGGGCGGCAATATACTCAGCGAAACGTATTTAAGTTATCCGTTGCTTTCACTTGTGGTAAACATTCGAACTTAATTATTGTTTATTACTGTTGGCGACTTCGAGCGTGAAGGGGGGAGGAGATAAAGCAAATTAACTCCAGAGATGAGCGTCTACCTGACTGGAGGCGTTCGTAATTGCTTCGATTTTTACAATTGGTTCACTGAGACAGAAAATTCCTGTCATTTTGACAGGAACATAACTGAGTATGTGAAGACCCAAAAGTAGCAGCATCTCACTGTTTATTGGCCAGTTGTCTTTCAACATTGCTACCTTAGGGAGTTATCAAGTTAATTGATTAATATGTGTGTAAATGAACATCATATGTACTGGTAACGGTGCGCTAAATGATTTTCACTCTCGACGTTGTTTATTGGTGGTCAAATGGCCTCGACAGTTTCAAGCGCCATTACTTTGTGCTCTTTTATTCATGATGAGTACTATGGGCATCTTGGAATCCTAACAACGGAAACTCTTTCATTTTTGTTGAAAGTTAGGGCGAGGTCCACTTAAAGTCAGTTCATAATTTTCAAAGTATGGATTCATAAGTGGCAGTATGATAGCAATTTTTTTCACAAGTCACAGACATTTAATTTGTTTTATTTCAAGATAGGCTAGTTCTCCTATCCGTCATTTCACAAGTTATCGTGTGAATTTTAGAAGTTACAAAAAAATTTTTGAGTGGAATGCCGACGAAGGCTTGTTTTGTTTCGAACTCAATCCAAAAAAGAATCGGATCAAAGGTCAAAACATGTCACTTTCCATGAGCTTAATGGACTGGATTTTTTCGTATTCTTTCCCTGGGTTATCGTAAAGGCAAGATTTAATCAAAACAATATTAATACGACAGGTAATAATTATAGGAAACAACACGTCTCAGTCATTGTCATCCCATGAAAGGCATCATTACACGCACGAACAAATAACGCTAGGATCTTGTACAGAACAAAAGATACTCTTTCTTGTGTGATCATTAGTAATAATGCGACCACATTTGATGAAAACTCCTGGCAAAATGCAGATCTATCGTCGAATATGTTACGTGATGTAAGAACTCCCATCGTTGCCCTTCAGCCATTCATTCGCTTCCATGTTGAAAAACAAGTCCACTGCTACGCACGTGATCCACACTTTACTCCATAATCCTTCTAGGCCAAGAGCTCAAATTTGTGTTGGCAGTTGGCCCAATAATTTATACTAACCTTTTTGTCGTATCTAAACACATATCTTTAAAAAGAGTAAATTTACTGTCTAAGCTAAGCCCGAAAACTAAACGAGCCGGTCCAGACCGTAAGCGATATTGAGATGTTTTGAGCTGTGTTTATGTCTAATAAAAGCTCATTATAAAAATGAACACTGCGTGAGGCCATGTTATCTTACGAATACTTTCTCTCAAGTGCTTTATTGAAACTTTTAATTCAACCATTCAACCATTCCAACTAAACCACCGGCAAGGTTTATGATGCGTGTCTTTCTGAGTCAGCAACAGGAGGCTTTAGATAACTATAAACGACGAACTCAGACACATATAGATAACCGAGGAACTTTAATGTGTAAATTGTCTCTACTTAAGATAAGGTCTCAGGCAATAAAGCTCTTAAGCGTTTTAAGATATCAAAACGCAAAACGTGATATTGGCAACTTTGCAACCTATCTGTAGCCAGAAGCATGACATCGGTATCCAAGCGTTGCAAAATTTACCTGAAGGACTGAAATAACGACTGATAAATGGCGTACTTAAAAGAGGTATAGAAGGAAAAAAGACCTTCTCATTAGAATTACTTTAGACTTAAGAATCTCCGTGAAAGAGTTGTTCATCATACAATATTTATCAGATAACAAAAAATGCTTCATTCTATTTTAAATCAGTGACTAGGATAAACGCTAGATTTCATTAAACCATGCGAATACCGGTCAGAGTGTTTGGATGACGCAGCGCACGCGGTACTACGTAGGTGTATTTGGGAGCTTTCCATATTGGCTGACATAGAGTCGGATAGATTTACGAGTTGCTTTTTTCTCCGTGGCAAGATGTTATATCTATTGTTATTCCCTAGTCACTACAACTTTTAAATCCCACTTACGTGATCGCAATTGAACGCGTACCGACTTGTTCACGAAAACATCTCCAAAACACCTAGATTTCAACGGAAGTTCTTTTTGCAGAACAAGTTTTTAATGCAATTTATACTAGATTTATCGCATTTGCAAAACACATCTCTTGAAGCAATAAGAGAGTTTTCACGCCCCTTTAAGTCATAAATTTTATATACCGTACTTCAAAAATTGTATGTCTATTTGGCTAAATAAGTCTGAATGAAATATGATGGATAGCTGCTCTTTTTTTCATGTTATTCCGGCCAAGCATACGAAGCTTTTGCGTTGTCACAATTCCTCTCTAAAATCATGTTAAAATCAAATCAGTGACCTGTATGTATCCTGAGTGACAACAAGTGCAAGGAATACAGACTCACGTAAATTTTTCTTGCTGTATTTGAAGCTTTTAGCTTTAATCGGTGATAAAACTTAACTTCCGGATACTGTCAGCATTTGGTCCTATGGTGCTCTTGAGTAGGATAAATGAGCCGGCTTGGTTCGAACGCTGGAAAGACTTGACTGACTCATGTGATTACTATCAATTTCGCGGATCCGCGTCACCAACCCCTTCAATCGCGTCACGGTTTAGATCTCCGCAATAAGCTACCTCCCGCTGAACGAGTCGGGTTTTAAGGAAAGTAGAATTTATGTTTAAAAATTTTTATTAGATAAAAACTTTACTGTATAATTTTCATGCTTTCACGCGAGATTTAGAGCAAATTTGCTAGTCAAATTTACTTGAACTACACTTCAGTGTCCTATCACTAGGTACCAATAATTATGAGTTCAGTCGTCTAATAGGGCAGCACCAAGTCACTTAAAGTACTCTTCCTCATCTTTTGGCTAGATATTAGTCACTTGAAATCAAGAGTTAAATGGTTTGGACTGATAGCCACCATATTTTCTGGGATCACTGGTCCCTATTTCTAAGATAAAATAATGAAGAACACTGGGGTTCAAGTCATTTGAACTGTATGAATATTAATCAGCGCTAGGTATGTCAACCTGAATTTTGCAACTGTCAATCATCTTATTTCTTGCGAATAAATTAATATTGACATGTCAAGCGTCACAGTAATTTAAGCAACATTTTGCTAACTTATTGATTATTTCTGTTTCATATTAAGCTGTGAGGTGAGACCTGGTCCACAGTTTTTTACACGATATATCAAGATCTTACAAAACTCCACGTGGGAAGGTTATTTCCATCGGTATAACGACTCGCAATGTTCCGAACCCAAGTTAAGTCTTTACATGAGAGGATTTTACAAGGTGATGGACGAACCTTTGGAATTCATCAAAGGCAGTAACAAGGCATTCTTCAACTTTTCAACGATAGAACTCTACCCTCACAACAGCTACGAGCAGGAGATAGCCATCAATACGTCAACCCGTCATTGTCGAAATACGCTGAAGGTTGTGAGAACCCTAGACTCCACAGATGTTTTTGCGGTAGATAAAAGAGCATTTAGAAGACGTGCTTGTAGGAGCGCGTTTGGATTCTCCGAATCGGAATTTTCTGGGTTGAAGCTCGAAACTCGGAGAAAGAAGAGCTCCAAATATGACAAGTTGTATTTTGGTGGGGTCCCCACCATAAGAGCTCCCAGAAAGTATAAGCCCAGGTCTTACCAGCTCCCATTGATCAAGTACAATTCTCATAACTGTACCAAATGTATGAAAATTCGATTAGGTACTGGTGCGCGTCCACCAAAGTTTGTATGGAAACCACCTCGTCTGTGGCGATTAGAGGGAGAGTGGGCCAGCACAACTTGTGAGGCAAGCCCAGGAGGTGCGTTCTTAACGCGTCACTTTAAATTCACTAGTAGTCAGAGTTCACGTAGATGGGAATGTCATTATTACTTCTATGTGGATTCAGAATGCAAGAAGCGTGACTTTGAGCTGAACGGGAAAGGACACTTCTCGTATGCAACACCTTCTAAAAAGGTTAACGGGGCTGCTGAATATGTGTTCACCATGACAGAGGCAGCAATCAAGCCATTTGATAGAATTACCACTCGAATGTTGAACACCGCTACACCTAATACATGTGGCAAAACTGGGACTTGGAAGACAAACGTCAAGCAAGATATCACAGGAACTCAGGGTTGTAAATTGTACGGCATCTCACTCCCGATCACCGAGTACGATCTCCTGAAGATGGACACTGATCATGGAGACAACAGACTTCTCTATGTGGGACAAAGAGCCAGTGATGGTTCTGACCCCTCCTCTCCCTCAAAGAGGGCAACGTCTTTCCAAGTACCACTTATCGAATGTTCATCGTACAAATTTAAATTTGTACCTCCTACAACTCGCCCAACAACTCGTCCAACCACCAGGAGTGGAATTGTGCTCTCTATTAGGACGTTGCCTACCAAGATAAAGAAAATTACCACAAGAAGGCGAACTGATCGAGATCCTGGCCGTAAAACAACCCACAGCAGAAGTGGAAATGGTTCTGATGCCAACAGAGAGAATGTTGGATATCTTTACCGAAACAGTGCAGCCAGCTTGTTAAGCAAACTTTTATTGGTACTAAGCACAGTCCTCGTTAGCACGTGGATTGACTAAAATTTCCAGGAATAGTGAAATGCTATACGAAACATGTAACAGAGCTCCTTTTGAACTTTAAAAGAAAACATTTGTGCAATTTTAGTGCGGTTAAAAGGTGGCGTATGTCATAGATTAAAACTTTTCCACTTGAAAATTGTCATATGGAGCCCTTCTCAATCTCCGAATAGAGAAAGACTGGGGCCGAAATTCAGTAAAGAGCTGCAGAAGTATAAGTGGCAGAAGGTAACGTCAAACCTTCTTTAAGCATCATTCCTTGAATGAATTTGTTAATGAGGAAATGTTCCTTTTTTATTTTGATCTATTTTTCTTAGTTAATTAGCAGTAATAGCAACGTACATCAAAATTGGGCAGTTCTTTAACCATCTGATTTATTTTCCAATAAGGCGATATTTTTTTTTAGCAAATGGATTATATGAACATAGTGGTGTTGAACTTTTTAATTTCCAACATCAGAATGATTCATGAAAAGAAAGGAATTTCTTTTTTAAATTTTCGAGGTGAAACGATTGATTTTTAAGTTATTGCTGTGTATTGCGAAATCTCTGGATAATACTCGCTGAATTTGATTTTGCCAGAAGAGAGAAAACAATTTTCCTGAAGACTTTCCAAAAACAGGGTCTGAATTCTCTCATGAAATCAAAACATTCTTGGATTAGGTCTGATGTGTTATATCATAACTGGGATATTTTACACGCTCTGATTAATGAAAAACTCTATCGCTTTTTGTTAGTTGAGAGATTGACTAGCCTTTCACGTCTTCGCCGAACATTCCAAGAGAATTCTTACAACAGTAAACCGTTGGAATGTGGGTCTAGTGATTGTCTATTTTTTCAGATGATAACTCTAATGCTGAATAACGAACTAGGGTAACGTCGTAGGCATTGTTCTGGGTTAAGACAATGGGACGACTGAAATCGTATGTATAAGGGTCGATTTGACGTTTCAACTTCGCCCTTTTCCGCAAGAAAATTAGGAAAAATTGTTTCCTTAAGACACAAATACTTATGATAATCATGGACTGCGCAAAACGTTGAAAACTTCATACACACAATTCTTGGGTGAAGAGCACCCAAAATTTGTTTAAGGCACCGTGTAAATCGATCCATATAACTACCAAGCAATGTTTCAGTTCAGTTTTGTAAGTTTAGTTTTGTAAGCAGCGTTGAAAAGGGGAACGAATTAAATGAAAGTTTTGTAGATAAAATAAATTTTCAAGTAAAACTGCACAGGAGTGTTGGAAAACGTTGTGTCGGTTCCATTTCAAAAGTTTGCGTGTGACCTGACCTGCTTTCGGTGAAGTGATGAAAGTTTCTTAAACTTAAACAGAACTCATCAACAGAGTGCAGTCACTTATCGACAATTTGTTTGACAAATGAAACCAAGGTCAATTTTTTAATGGGGTTACTTTCCATTTCAAGACACTCAAAACAACCAGCTTTAATTTTGATCTCACCAGGCTTGTACTAAATCGCTAGGAAAACATCCAGCTATATTTTGCATCAGAACTCACAGAAGGTGTCTGTTGCTCAAATGTAGACGAGTCAGTTGTTTTCTGGATTTTTCTAATTATAGTTAGTTTGCCGGGGGCTGCGGTACAACATAAGTTAATTACCTTCACGTTGGTACTTATATCTAGTTAAATAGACATAGACTCGAGGTTAACCCCTTTGAGACTACCAACAAGATTAAAGTAGAAGCCACGAGCGGTACTAATGATCTCAGCCACAGGAAACGATGCAGACTATTCACTGGGAAATGCATGGGGAGAGGTTAAGCCGGGTGATACCCCGGAAGATCGCGTTGTAAGCAAATTCTGCATAAGTTCAGTGTTAAGAATACAAATTGACATTTGATTCGCACACTGCAACAGCTACACGGTGTTTCTCTTACGTTCCTTTAACACTTCACTAATACTTTGGGCAGACATGCACCTATCCTCTGTTTAGTCGGTATATTTCTGTTAATAAATGCGATTAATCCCTCCGCATGGGATAACGGATCCATCATCCTGGCAATATGACAACTTCATAAGAGGATGATATAAAAGACCCGCCATTTCTCGAGTCTCTTACCAACCATCTTGGACAAATGACTCAAACAAAACCTAGCCTTGGCTGGGAAAAAAAAAATAATAATAATAAAAAAATTAGGGATTTCAGAAGTTCTTGTCGAATATTTCCCGCGGTAGATGGTAGCAAAGTATGGAAAATGTTGATTGCGACTTTCCTGCCTGTTCTTTAAAAAAGAAAATGAATATTAAAATAAAAATAAAATAAGCTAACCTGAAAAAAATTTCACTCATTTGCCTTTGATTTCTTTTTTTACTTTAAGAGAAACCGGCACCGTTTTTGCATTTCATTCCCTCAGAAACATCCAGATAAAAAACTATTATTGGGTATGTGTTCTCTGCATAGGGCGGTATTCCCAAAGTTCCAAGCCACAGTCACTCCCTCTAAGCTTAAGTTCCATATGACCCATATCCCCTTCAGGAATGTTTCCTACATCAAGTAGTTGGCCAAAATGAAAATTGCTTGTACATGCGTCTAACTGTGAACTGGGAAATCTCAAATCGCTACAGTAGAGGTGACTTCTTTTTCTCGACATTTCATTTTTGTTCAACAACAAAGTAACTTTTAGTTTAGAACTGCTATCGGCGCAATCTCTTATCCAATTAGTTAATTGTGACTCTTTTGTGTTATTATCCCCTTCAAGGGTAATTTATGGAAGATCATCAGTGGCTGTCCTCTTTACCCCGAGCTCAGTTCAACACTTTAAATATCAACAGCAACTTTTAGTTCAAGTAGGAGACATGACACCCACAATAGTTGAAATTGAACTTGCAGCGCTTGTTAATGGTTTTACTGCAGATGAACGTTAATAATCTTGTTTGTCTGCCGCTAAAAGCAGAAATACCGACGGGGTGCCGTATAAGACATGCATATAGAATAATGATTTCCTGTTCCCGGCGTAGTACAGCATGTTCATTCATCTTTAAAATGAAATTTTCACCAGATTTGAGAAAATCTATAGGGGAAATACAAAAAGCGACTGAATGCTGTGATCTTTCTCAGTGCAATTCAAAATCTTGATCATCAGCTCATTATCTTATTTTTGGATTCGTACTTATTTCATACAGACTACTTCTCGAGGCTTTGCCAAAAAATTATATTTGGTCATGTCCGACGGATACTTTATAGCATAAAAATTAAAATTTGAGATCTCGTGACAAAACTGGATTTGTGACAAGTGTTGCTGTCTTTGTTAAAGTGGAATTTCCCACGATTGCACCTCACTGAGTAGTGCTCAGCCTTCAATAAAGGAAACATTACAGTTTTCGGGTTTAGTTACCATACCTTAGTACCACCAATAGTACTTCAATTTATCTGCTAAGATCAGCTTCAAACGGGATTCGACAGTTTTTTCTTGAACAGCGAGTGATAACAAAGGAAACAGCGATATACCCTCGCTAAGGGGTGGCTGAAAAGATTACAACTAAACATTAAGCTTCCTGGAAAATTCTCATAGGCTCTCGGATAAGCATCAATTGTTTTGTGCTAATAAATATGTTCATCTATTCAATTGTATTTTTACGTGATACTGTGAGTTGCAGTGAACTTTGATAGAGTTACATTTTCTTGCTGCGAAGACACCTTTCCTTCATGATTGGTCGGTTTTGAATGGCGGTCGCCATATTGGAGAAAATTCTATTATGAAGATGTTTGTTGGGTTTGTTCTTATTGGACTGAGAGCACCAATGATCAGCCAATCTTGACTTAACATTTTTTCCTGGTCTTGAAATTATTAGTTCTCATGACTTCTTGTAACATATGTCATCGGTAGGTTAAAAAGAATATATTTTGATTAAAAAGTGGAGTTTGTTTTATCCTCGGTAATGTCGACATTGTTGGTGAAACTTTGGGTTATGCCGGCCCTTTACAATCGAAGCTGGATGAGACAGATCATTTCAACGTAGAAATGTAGGCATCACAATATCTCAACATTTATTGGCGATGGTTCTTAAAAATTATCACAAAATATATTGAAAGTGCTTCTAACTTTCATGATTTTCCAAAATAAATGAAACATTATCTACATGAGTGACATGCAAATCGCGCAAAAAGACTCTTCAAATACAGAACTGAGTTTGACAGAAGGAGACTGGTACAAAGCCAACCAGCAGAGAGGATCGACACATGACAGTCACAGCAATTGAAAACCAACCACTGATTACGCATCACAAGGTGATTCCAATCATTGGCATTCATCGCTTAAAGAACACTGTCAGTAGGTAGTGGTCATGTCACCGTGTATGTTAGATTTGACAAATTCGTGATATAAAGAACTTAATACTCGACTATTATCTTCTTACTCCAAGATAAATCAATAACCTCATAGGTTTAACCACAGCTTTAGAGGTAAAAATCACACAGGCAAGCATCGTTTCCGGAGGTCATTACTGCATTCGTGAGCAATGCATTAAGTCTTAATTAGCAAGCTTCTAAGATTAATTAAAGGACGGTTTGATTTTATTTTGATTTGTGTAAGTATATGGGCTCTCTCGCAATCTCCCTCAGCTCGAAGAATCTGTGTCCTAAAAAACTTAAGTTCTTTATGATTTACATCATTTTCTTGATGCCAAGTGAAAATGACACCATTTCAGTACGAAAGCAATTCACTCAAAAAAGTTCATCCTACGAGTTTTTCCTTTAAGTTAGTTTACAGTGATTTGACTCAATTTAGCTAAAAATTCGAGCAATTAATTAGCTGTAAATCAAAACATTAATTTTTGCGATTATAAATCTGCGTGTGCAAATTATATCCAACGAATCAAGGTATCAGAAGATACCTTAATTTAATTAGAGTTCCGACGACAGACGTTCTTAGAGTAATTCCTTTCCGCCGATGCTTGCTTTATATGATTTGAAGATTAAAGAAAACAAAAAAATTCAAATTCTCGTTAGACAGCGCCGCTCACGAATAGAAAATGATCGTCAGAATTTCTTTCCATCAACCATAAGCGGTCAAAAGATGCGATCCCCAATAAAGGAAAAGAAACAGTAAAAGAAACAGTAGGAGATTAAAATATTGACTGAGAGCGATGGATTATAAATAAGTTGTATTGGTGGTCGGTTTAATGAGAATCTTCAACTGGAAGAACCTTTGCAGGCGCATGGGTTATTCTGAGCCACTTATGGCAATTTATGCATCAGTAGGTCGGATCGGAATGCATCGTTATCACCACACAATCCTGAAAAAGGCTTCATCATACCAGAGTTAATAGAGGGAACTCTGATCAGACCTGACGGTATCCAGTATGTTGCGCACCAAGTTTTTCAGTTCAATCTTGTTTAGCAAGTAATCCATTAATAACAAATCTCATAAATTATCGGTGCTTTCCGTTTTGAAAATTATTTCCTACTTACCTAAAACCACAGAGGAGCCTTAAAAAGGTATTTAATCCCATTTTTACTTGAACAATAACCTATTGACGCTGACATTTCGCACTTATCAATTTAAGTCTCAGTAATACTGAGAAAGCAAACTCTTGCCCAACTTCTGGTAAAATGTAAACTACGTGGAGCATAGAGCCGCAGAGGAACAGTTTCGTGTTCTTATGAAGCTCATCAATATTCAAGTGCAAGTGCAAGACAATGCACCATTCACTTTTCACTACCATAATTTGATTGATGATATCCGACCACCACTAAACCGGCCGTTTCAAAAGCTCAATTATTTGTTTGACGTGTACATCCATCTCTTTACTCCAAATGAGACGTAATGCATGATATTCCTCACGTTCTCGTGTAGCTACGTGCATCTATATGGTATGGTATCCATCTATACGGGGATGCGTGCAAAACTGCAATTTCGCTCCCTTTCCTTTATGGGTGAGGACATCGTCCCCGCAGACACCGCCAAAGACCTTGGTGTGATTTTGGATTCTAATTTAACTTACGATGAACACATAATTAAGACCACTTCCTCGTGCATGTCCCGCCTCGGCCAAATAAACCGTGTCAAGCATGTTTTCGACAAACGAACACTTTTGATGATTATTAATTCCTTAGTTTTCAGCAGGTTATTTTATTGTTCCAATGTTTGGTCAAATACCTCAAAATGTAATGTTAACAAGTTACAGGCAGTGCAGAACTTCGCATGCCGCATTGTTAGCGGTGCGCGTAAATTTGACCACGTTACACCAATTCGCTAGGAACTAAATTGGCTTTCAGTTCAAAGCCAGCTTTACTACCGGAACGCTACTATGGCCTTTCGATGCATGACTGGTCAGGCCCCAGAATACCTCTCATCAAAATTCATAAAGCAAGCCGAGGTTAGTCGACGTAGCACCAGAAATTCGCAGCTTTTGCAAATTCCATTCTTTAGAACAGCTAGCGGTCAGAGAACATTTTTCTATAGAACTGTAAACTTATGGAATTCTTTGGATAATTCCTTTAAACTGTGCAACTCCGTTAATGTTTTTAAAAAACGTTTAAGGACCAAATTACTTAAAGAGTTGTAATTTTACATATGTGTTTGTATGCTTTTGTTTTTCTTTTAGAACATTCAGATTTTAAAACACTTTTAATTGTAAATGGGACTTTTTAATTGTAATAGGAATATTCTTTATAACATTGTCTTTGAAAAGCCTCCTTGGGGAAAGTCAATAAAGTATGTATGTATATGTATGTATGGTATGGTATCCATCTGTATGGTATGGTATCCATCTATATGGTATGGTATCCATCTATATGGTATCCACGTTATGGTGTATGGTATCCATCTATATGGTATCCACGTTATGGTGTAGCTGCATGCATCTATATGGTATGAATCAAGGCTAAAACCAAACCTATCAATAAATTGCATGGGAACCAAAGCGTCATAAGGCCGCAATATGTTAAATGGAACTACCATAGCTTCATGGTTTTATTTCTCCTATTCACTACGGAGTATTTTTCGATAAAGAGGGCTCTTAAAAAGGTTGAAAGGTGAGCCCATCAACAAAAGGTGTTAATTTGCAAATGTTAGTACTATATGCAATTATTCAGTCGCTCATTTTGCTATTTTGGTATAGCAAGTCAATTTGTGGAGATTATCCATAGAAAAGTCATGACTTTCCTTGCATTTTCTAACACACAAGTTCCCCAATTAGCATACCTTTCAACTCTCTCTACCAAAACCTTATCGGAAAAAATAACACAGTGACCCAAAAAGACAACTGTAAAAAAAATAAAAAATAAAAAAAAACAGGAAAAAAATAGAATAAAATCGATGAATAGGAAAGGCAGCAAAAGGAAAAAATTACGGGGAAGAGTTGCTGGGCCCCTTAGTGATTTCGAGAGTTACTACTCCTCGTCTGCCGGCTGCAAATCATACTCAGGTAGAAGGCATTCGGCCCCTAAGCCAGATTTGAATGGGGAGAGGGGGGGGGGGAGAAGAGTCGAGAAAGTTTGTCTGACTGAGAGTACAATCGAGCTTTTACGGCCAATATTACAATAAATGAACCATACAGCTTATGTCGCAATGGCGGATGGCCACGCTTGCCGGGGCTCGTTAAACATTACGACTAAGTAGCCATCAGAGCTACCTTAAATATAGACACACCTTTAGCCTGGAAGCAGGCGAAGAGATAAAACGCCAAAAACATTCGTGTCAAAGCTTATCAGTATTTTTGTGTTGGGACATTTTTACATGAAACGTTCACATCCCATTCCCACCAATTCCACCTTATACTCGGTGTCGATATCGAGGCTGAGAGCAGAGGACACCCTACCAAATAATTTAAAAGGAAAATAATTACCATTGCTAATTTATCCTTGAGTTTTTAAGGAAAGAAATGGAAGCTGTTACATCTTTCTGAACAGAATTTAGGGCGACCCCATCCAGGCCAGGGCTTGTCTTACTTTTACTGCTCTTATCAGACCAAAGAATCACACGTCATCGCGACTGAAATTTTGGCGGGAAGATGACAATCAGTTCCAGTTCTCAAGCGATAATTAACAAATATGGCGGACATAACCAATGGCGACAACTTCTTGTTGTAGACTTATCGAACTAAAAAGACGATCAATTGAAAAATATGGCGGCAAGTACCTTCAGGTAAACTTCTATACAGTTATGTTGCGCATTCCACGTCCCGTAAGAGTTGAGGAGCCGGTGAATCTGATTATTTCGTGGATTGGATTATTACCTAATGTCTTCGATTTCTAACGGCCCTTAAATCTTACATTGTTAGGACACATAAACGGCTAGATCACTAAACCAGTTACTCAGGGATATACTGCAGCGATACTTTTCCTTTCGTGAAAACAATATTTTTGTTCGCAAGAGAGGCCACAAGTTACTTTACAACAGTAATTGTCACTGTAAGTAAGCTCCTGACGTGACAAAAAAAAAGAACTCTTTGAGCACTCTATTTTTAATTTTCCTTTCGATCATAAGTTTTTGTAAAATTTTTAAAATAGAATTAAGCTTGAATCACGAAAAAAAATACGCACTTTGTCATTCTAAAAGTTTATAAGAAGTGCCTCGACTTTTGTTCTGTTTGTTTATTTACTTTTCTGTCAAGTTTTGTCTGCTTTGAAATATTGCGTTACTTGTCATTTATCAAATAGGCTTTGAACTTGAAAGTTTATTCGTTGCAGGAAGGTCAGTAAATTATATCATTCCCTTACTGTTTTCTTCTTTTCTGTAGGATCCTGACTAAGGAATATGGTGATGATGTCTTGGAACAATTTTGAGGAGTTTAAGGTTGCCCACAGTTTTGGGATCCAAACTAATGTCAATAGTTAGATCTTTCTAGATGTTACAAAACATTTCAATTTGTTGGCCTTTTCACACATGAAAGCAATGCGTTAACAGTTCAAAAATTGTAGTATCAAGAACACTAGTGTTTAGTCTGTTTTTAAGAAAGTAAAACTCTCTCTAAAGGAGGTAAATGACAGTATTTTTATCTTTTGTAAACAAAAGGGTAAATTTAAGGCCTGGGTACATTACCATTTTGTGTCAGATTTGAAGTCGCTGTTTAAAACATGATTATGGGAGGATAATCTACATTTTTCTAATTCAAGTGGTCTTTTCCTTGTATTGAACAGAGATTTACCAGAAGTGGTGCAAATGTTAGGAAAAAGAGGCCTGCATCTAGTGTAGGTAAGTGTGGAGCAAAGTGGATATGAGTAATAAATTTAAACCCTGCATTAGTGAGTGTTGTTAACTAAACTGTAAACTGATTTTATGTTATTGTTTGGTTTTGTCCTGGGTCAAATCATAGTTTGCTTTTTTTTTGTGACTCATGGTTGCAATCATATGTTACTGCAACCAACATCACATAAATTAAAACAAGAGTTACTTAAAATTATATACAGCCTATGCTGTGACCTTTATGTTTTGGCATTTTTTGTATTCCTTTATTAAGAAAATAAGACAGGAAGTTGTTGCAGAATTTTACAATCCAATGCTTTAAAAGTGAACAATTAGTTGGAATAATTTGAGAACTGATTGCTACTTGTCAGTTGCTGTTGATAGTCACGGCAGATCATGCGAACTCTTTTCTTTCCTACTGGCCAACATTTTCCCAGTGTACTGTATTGTGATGTGCTAAAAGAAAACACTTCTGAGTGACTGACTTTATCACCTGTGAACATTGTAAAATGAAATGGGGATATGCATAATGTTAGATTTTACACCACATTTTGCCCTTTCAGCTGTCCTTAAACTGAGTCATTTAAATACTCATTCAAGCAAATAGCTGTTCAGTTTTTTAAAGATAAAAGTACCATATGATTTATTTTTATGTACTGTACCCGTGCTTGAATACTTTATACTAATTTTAAAATGTTAAGGTACATTCAAGTAAAATCAGTAGGAACTTTCACAAAACATTTTATGGATGTTCATTGATTATGCTGAACATTGTAAAATGAAATGGGGATATGCATAACTTTAGATTTTACACCACATTTTGCCCTTTCAGCTGTCCTTAAACTAAGTCATGTACCCAAGCAAATAGCTGTTCAGTTTTTAAAAGATAAATGTACCATATATTGATTAATTTTTTTATCTACTGTACCTATGCTTGAATACTTTATACTAATTTTAAAATGTCAAGGTACATTCAAGTAAAATCAGTAGGAACTTTCACAAAACGTTTTATGGATGTTCATTGATTACGCTGAATCCTATTGCATGAAATAATTTACCTGGCATTTAATTCTCAGGCTGGCAAAACTCTTCGACACGAAAGAGACGACAAACCAGCAGTGACTCAATTTATTATTCAGTGAGTGTGTTTGGCTGGTTTCACCATTACATTCATGTTTGCAGTACGATAGCTGTTTTGTTACTTTGTTTTTCCTTTTCACTTTTGTTAGACTTACCCAACCATTAACTGTCACTAAAATCATTTATAATGGAATATATTTTTTCTAAGTCTAAACCTGAAAGTGTCAATGAGATTGAAGGCTTTTCCACTGATGAAGAAGATGATGTGCTTCTTGATTCTGACTCAGCTTCTACTTTGTGTTTGTGGAGGTAATGATTATCATGATCATTTAAACAGCTATATCAGCTTACTCTACAGGTGCAATATGTAAATTTTCCACTGTCAACTTGTTGCTTTTTCAGACCCAAAAGTTCTTTCTTTTAATTATACAGCAATAATACAGGAAAGGAACGTACACCATTGAACAAACATGCATTTATAGTGTTTACAAAATTAATGTCTAAATACGTATGTGCAGTTAACATATATTTGGAAGCAGTGCTCTATATGTTTACATGTTAGATATTAGTTACTATAGGTAATGCTTGGGTTTACACCATAAGAATATCCCTCGAGTATCTTGCATTGTTCCAATATACATGTGAGCCATAACATGAGTCACTATAGACAAATGTAATTTTAATATAATTATCATCAAAAAGTTGAGTGAAATCAGGATTCTCTTTGAGCCAAGGATTATTGTCTAATCTGCATTTGTTTTCCCTTAGGAATATAAGTAAACCCTCTATCAAGAGAAAGTATTCTGATGTAAGCACATGTGCTGTACACCCATTAAGATCCAATGATAAGTACTTGATCTTTTTAGTGCAACTTATTATTATGTATCATTTCAGGACCAATAGTTCATATAATTTTCAAAAGTTTCATTTGAGTTTCCATGCTACCTGTTCCTTGCAACTATCTGAATGAATGGAATTTAGTAGAAAAATGAGATGAAAAAATTGTTTGTCAAGCTACTCCTCGTAGATTACTGCGCAGGATTCTGTGCACCTTCCCTATATTTCCTCAGACTATGATCCAATTAAAAATGAGCTTTCTCTGTATCAAGCCCCTCCCTGAAAATTGGATGAAAAAATAGCTCAATGACATTGAATTCATTATGTGAAAGATTTTATCTGATTCAGGACTCATTAATTTATTATTGATTTATTATGCTTTGATTGATAAATTTATTGTTGTACATAATTCTGTTTTAGATATTGTTTAAATTTGTAATATGTAATTTCAGTCATACATTTTTTTTAAAATATGGGAAGCTAGTTCTTTTCTTTTGTAACCTGTTTTATGCCCAATATAAAAAAGAGTACACCACTTGAATGTGGTTTACTGTTTTTTTTTTTTTGTTTGTTTGTTTTTTTTTTATACAGTGGAGAAGTCTCTCAGAGAAAAGAGTTTCAGCATTAGATGGTCAGAGATTAAGTCATACTGACCCTGTGCCAAAGAGTGGGGATGGAGGGGATAACAGAGGCAGTGACTTCATACCTGATGGAGCTCATGATCTGCTGATGCATTGTTCAAACACACCCACTGAGGATGAAATTGTTTGGTGTGCAAGTGATGAAGAAGGTAATATGAAATAAAGAAATCACTATAACTGATATTACACAGTTTTAAGAACATTTTAAAAAACCTGAGGGTTCTGCAAAAATCTGTGTGGATCATTTTTGTAATGTGCAATTAGGAATTAAAAACTCAAAATTTTGCCATAGAATTCTCAGTGATTTATTAGAGAAGCTAAATAGTTTTTTTTCATTACAAAGCTGAGTTGAGTATTTAACAATTATTCCACGAGCGTGCGTTGGATATGAGATGATAGATAGCCAACGAGGCGCATAGCGCCGAGTTGGCTATAATCATCTCATATCCAACAAGCGCGAGTGGAATAATTGTTTTATTAAAAACGCCCCCAAGAAATCATTATTTTGTAAGAAGAAACTGGATTTTTTAGCTCCCGCTTAATTTTAAGCTGATATGTCCGCTTACCATATTTGTAGATCATGGTATATTGGCTGATATACCATAATGGCTAAGCCAATAAAAATTCTTGAATTGCATTATCCAATGATCTAGTTTTTAATAATAAGAAATTAGACAACTTTGATTTTTTGGGTTCAAAATCAGAGTTGTGCTTTAAAGGATTTTTACAACTGAGATTTTTTTGTGTAAAATATAATTTTGCTTCAGTCCTCCCACAAGTAATATACCCAAAAAGGGCTTTGATCTCATCTGAAAACTAATTTTCACCTGCTGTTTTGGATCCATAGAATTACCCTGCAATGTCTTTGGTGATACAGGTGGTGATTCAAACGCAAAATGTCTTCTAAGTGAGACAAAACAGGGAGATGTAATAAAATCAAGGATATTAAGCCGTGTCCAACCTACAAGGATCATACCTGCAAGTACCTCAGTTCAGTTAGCAGTTATATGATACATTTAAAGTCAATTTTGGTGGAGGGAGTTGATATCAGTTTACTGTCTCTTATTGTACTTGATTATGAACTTAAAGAGGGGGGCATTGGGCCTCTGGGAAACCGCAAAACCGGAGAAAAAAACCTCCAAAACCGAAAAACAGATGAATAAAGGCAGCAAAACTGAAAACCGCACGCAAACCTGACAAAACCACTACACTTTCACCTTTAAAGGGGTAAAAAAGGAAAGACCGAAAACCGCATCAGAGTTTTCGTGAAAACGACATCAGAGTTTTTGTGAAAACCGAAACCCGAATGCAAAAACATGTAAAATCTGCAAACCCGTCTGAACATCAAAACTGAAAAACCAAACCTTTTTGGCCCAAGAACCGAAAAACCGATCCAAAAAACAGTCTAAAGGGAAATTCCCAAAGCCCCCCTCCTTAAACATAAGTTACATCCCAGAGTATTTTAGGAGGATTCTTTTGAGTAGAAATATAACCCTCATTTGTGTTTAACACACAAATGAGTCCAGTTTGTTTACATCAATATAGCTGTGCAATTCCTAGAGACCCACTGGTACCCCAGTACCCTAAGTTTTTCATTTGAAATATGAATGTTTGCTATTGTTTCACAACTCTGTGATGCAGTCAGAACCGCCTCCCGGTTAGCTCAATGGATAGAGCTCTGGACTGTTGTGTAGGAGGTCGAGGGTTCAAGCCCCGGCCGGACCAACACTCATGCTCTTAAAATAATTGAGAAGAATATGCTACCTTTCATCTATAACATCAAGAAATGGTTAGATATTCTAGTCTTCTCGGATAGGGACGAATAAATGGAGGTCCCGTCTCGTACAGGGTTAGGGGTAGGAGACGTTAATTTCCCACACACGGGATTATTGTGTGATGGATGTCCTCCCCTGCGGTGGGGATGGGGGGGATTTATTGGGTAGACTACTCGTATGGTTCACATGTTCCGTTCTAGTCCTACCCTACTGCAGTAATGCAGTGAAAATGGATAGGAAAAAAAAATGCACAAGAGGAATTAGTGTTCTTGAGTACAGCTGAAATTTGTCAAAGTACATGTAGGATTTGTTTATTGAGAGATAAGCTTCATTTACAATCATGTGGGTTATTTGATAATTAGACCCATAATATGTTGTTTTTCGTTTTGTAGGCCAAGGATGAAAACATAATAAGTGATTTTGAAACAGATCAAGGGAGTTCACAGGTCTTTGTCATATTGTAATAGTTATTACTTAGTCTTAACAGTCAGAATATACAACCTAAAGATTTTCTTCAGACCCCCTCATATAAAAAAGAGAACCCTTTATGTTCATTTTTTTAGCTCCATTGTTTTTTTTTTGGTGTTAGATCAGAAGAATCCCTCAGCAGTGAACTGAAGAATAAACGTGAAACAGTTATTATAATACTGACAGGAAGACTAACTACCATTTTTTTATCAATTTCTCTGAGTCTATGATGTTGTTTTTTATCTCGTTTAAGTTACTTTTAAAAGTTACCACTACTTTCTAGGGAAACTGCTTCCAAAGACATATGTCCTGTTTTTGTACTGAAAATATCATTTCTTCCTATTTTCAACATTCTTCTCTTTTTCAGTCAAATAGTATCTGACAAGTCATTGTGTACATTTACTAATAAGTTGAGGACTTTGCCCTCCTTGATCTGAAAACTAAGCCTTTAAAGATAAAAGAGTGTACATTTTGTTTCACAGGAGTCTTTATCAGCTGACATAACTGTCCTCACCCCCACCCCTGTTAGCCCTGTTGTTGTTGGGACACCAAAGACTGCCAGTGAGTGGCTTAAACAAGTTCAACAAAATTCCCCTCAGAAAAGTGAAGTGGAGATGTCTCCAGAGGGGAGGGGTGTTGGTCTGAATTATGATTCTGCCAAGAAGAAGAGAAAATTTTTTAGGTACAAAATTGATATTCTAAATTTCTGTAGAATAAAAGATGAAAATACGGATAAATACCAATAGATCTTTCTTAAAATGATGCAAAAGAAACTCTCAGAAAACAACATGTACTGAGTCAAATCTTAAAGATTCTGTCACAGATTTTCTAAATCAATGAACAGAGCCTCTGTGAATGCTATAAGAAAAACACCTGCGGCCCATGGAAAGACAGCTGATTAATTAATGTTAATGGTTATGTTTACATTTACAACAAAACCTGCCAATGCAGCGCATGACATTTTTTCAGTGTAACTCAATGCACCTGAGTTACTTCTTTGGATTTTGGTTACTGTGTACTCTTATATTCAGGAAATTTATAGTTCCCCATAATGAAAAAAATCAATTCTTTTGTGGAGCAATCTGTATTTGAATTACAATACCTGAGTTGGCTTGTGGCACAGTGTGCCTCACTTCTCATATTAAAACAGCATTCATGTCACAATAGTTTTCATTAGCTGACCATAGATTAAATATCACAAACAAGGCTCACAGAAATTCAATGGGAACCACTAGGTATTGCTTTGACACACAGAAACAACCCAGAGCATTTGCCTACATGTCTTGCTGTACAGGATGGCTGTAAACATTAGCTTAATAAGTCTGAGCCTTGCAGAACCTGTGAGTCATTCAGTCTTTAGTTTCATGGATCTGTCTGCCACTAGAGCTGACTTAGCTTCAAGGTTCTTTAAACAGTCATTATAATGCTCTCATTTCTATTATGATCAATGTGTGCTTCAGGTCTGGTTTGGCACAGCATTTGCAGCATATCATTTCTCGAGAAAATTCAGAGAAGGCATTCTGGAATCACAGAGTAACAGAAACAGAACAGAGCCGGAAGAGTAAGCGTGAAAAACTCTCTTAAAGTTGTAAACTCTCTTAAAGTTGTAAACTCTCTTAAAGTTGTAAACTCTCTTAAAGTTGTAAACTCTCTTAAAGTTGTAAACTCTATTAAAGTTCCCTTTGAAGTTGAGTTGGTGCATCTAGTTACACATCAGGGATGGACCAAGTTCCAGTGTTGAATTTATTTGGGACAGATTATTGGTACTGGTAATTTAAAATCTTGAAGAATTGTCTTTCATGAAGTAGCATGGTGTTCAACATAAATTCTACAGGAGGATTTGGAAAACTACTCTTCTGTGTTAAAGATAAAATTAATGCCCTCTTAGTCTTAAAGTGCTAGACAGGTAGCTTGTTTTTACAATATTTGTAGTACATACATGAGTGTTACAGACATCTCCAAGTCAGTATTTAAAACATATTTTTCATCATTCTTGTAGCTAAACCTTCCCAAATGGATAGCTGTCTAGTCGTTCAGATCATATCTGACCAGCCTCAGGGTTTAATTCATCTGACACAGTGTTTGTTGTGCAGCAAAGAGATAAGTCTCCGACAGAAGTTTCTGTTTGTCCTATTCACATGTGAAACTTGGAGGCAGTTTGCCTTGCATACTGGAGCTATGGTAAAAATTTATCCTCCATGGTATGTTGAGCAATTTAGATGTGTCATAGGTTCAGTTGTAATTAGATGGCAGTTAATCCTCCATTACATAAACCTTTTGAACTGAGACGACAAATGACTGTCGTTGACAGGTATTTGTCATCTGAGGGGGCGATTAGTTGGGAAATGGTTGAAGAATTTTATCTACACATCACATGAAGAAATTGCCTTTGAATGTTTTTGGAAAGACTGAGGATTGCTATGATGGGGTTAACTTTGGCAATAAGCTAATAATCAGGCAGTATTGTTCCATTCAATTGTTGTCTCCTTGACTAAGAGCAGCAGGTATCTGCATAAACAGACTGTAATTAACCTTCATTTTGATAATGTTCTGACCAGATCATATGTTTTGTGGATTTGTAGGCAGAGACTGGATATAACCGGGTGTCCTTGGCCTGTTCTGCTGTGTACATACTTCTGCGAGCAGCACTCTGCACCCCCGGATCAGTTGCCTGCTAAAAGCTTACAGTCACCCAAAGGTTGTACCCTTTTTCTGTCATTCTTAAATGTATTGAGTAATAGACTATATACTGTATATCATGTTTTCGAGTGCCAATAAGAAGTTTAAAAGCTACTTTAAGAGGGGAAAAGCAAGTGAATGTGTCTAACAGATAATGGAAATAAGTTCTCCTTGACTTGCACTACAAACATCTCGGACATTCAAACAGTAAGATTGTTTCCATCAAACTTCATTGACTTACAGGTGGCTTATGTGTTCCACTAAACCATGAGTTCAATTCATCACATCTTCATCAATCACCGAAAGAAGTAAGCAAAGAGTTTACCTCACCTTGTTTTCTTTTCATATTGTTTTTAAAACTCGAAGGTGAAGTCCAAAGTTCTGTTTGTATTTTTCCTCAAAGAATTTCACACCTTCAAAGTTACTGTTCGACGATATTGATGGTGAAAATACCAAACAAAATACAAAAGCAGTCACTGTGTCAACATTACTTACTGCTCAGCCTGCTCAACCTGCTCAGCCTGTCAGGTCAAGAAGCAGTAGAGGAAGCAAACCTGACACATCAATACTCAATGCAATAGAATCCAGTGGAGGCTGTAGTGGAGTGCTTGCCACTTTTCAGTGTTTGGTTCAGCGAGTGTATTGCAAGAAAACCCAGCTTACAAAGGAAACCGAACGAACACAGAGGTAAAAATTGAAGTAATGAAATGTTAGCCTGTATTACAAGGAAAGAAAATTAACTTGAGCAGAAGTTATAATATAAAATGCAAGAAAACGGGAAAGGAAATGTAGATAATTCTGGCTACTTCACCTCAAGTACTTATTACACCTGTACAAAAGGGGAAAAAGGATGGTGACAGAATATTCGAACTGTCAATTACATGTGCAATGTTCAAGAAACACGTGGGTGATCAGGAACAAAGTCGACGCCCATCATGCTAACCAGTTTGTGTTATTCTTGTTTTATTGATCGATCCAGCTTCTTCTTGTTAAATGAACAACTACGATCACAGGCCAAATCAGTAAAAGAGATTGCTTATGAAGAATTAAGGTGAGTAAACTGATTTACACAGGTTTTTGCACTGTATCCCTTTAATTGCAGCTGAATCTCATTAATATACCTGTATTTCTCTGGTGTATTTTTTAATAAGTTATTTTCTGTTTCACCAGCTGGTTTCTCCTGGTCCAAGACGTTCACGGCATGTTTGCTGAAGTACAAGTTCCTGCACGCTTTCAAGACTCCAATGACTGGTCAGTTTGTAATGTGCTAGTTTTTCTCATACTAACTAAGATAACCTTGATATGTCTTTTATGGGGTCTTTCATTGTCTATCGGTAATGTAAATAATATGCAATCACATGACATTGATATCTTTTGCTCCTCAGGAAGTCTTGCATAGCTAATGGGGAAAACCAAGTGTTTGTCTTTTTAAATGTGAAAGTTAGAAAGAGAACCAACAGAATAAGGTAAGTTTACAAATATACCACCAACATATCGAATTTCAGTTTTATTCGTAGGTCAGGGGATATTTTCCTTTGCTTCAAACTCCGTGTCATCTATCACTACATCCAAAAGCAAAGGAAATGACAAGTTGATTTTAAAGTCTTGATGCGCCGCCTTTAAGCAGTTAACGTAACTCTTTTTAGAGCAATGTACATATAACCATTTCTAAAGTTGTAGTTGTGAGTGTACTGTAATGAAAAGATTGAAAGAATTGGACCGTGAAAATGTTGATGCACTTTACACTGTTTGAATGTCATGGTGTGCGTAGGTAACCGGAAATGGGCGCCCTTTTTTCCTTTTTCCGTCGCGCACTGAACGGTTTTGCGAGAACCGATTATGTACACTTTGAGGTTTGCCTTAATGTTTATTCTGCGTTTTCAACCAGGTGCCTTTTCATTTTCGTATGTCGCGTATGGTCGTTTAACACTTTAAATCAATTTTAAAAAAAACTAAAAATTTTGTAGATCACCTGGACTTTTCGGTGTTATACAGTCATTATTGTGTTCAAATGATGACAACAACACAGCAAAGCAGGTGGATAAAAGCAAACAGACTGTGACTCAGGAGGTAATACCATACAATAAATAAACGCTTTTTCCATCAGTTTTGCTGAAACTCTATTGCGAATAGAAACTGATTCGTCTCAACTGATGATTGCTATTATAGTCTTAGAGCCAGTACCAGTATCAGTGGCAAAACCAATCCATACGTTTTCAAGTTTTTCTCTTTGAAAAGCATCCTACTTACAACCAATTGTTCACATGACCCTGTTAATGACTTCCCACTCACTAACTCTTGGTAGTTGAAACGTCTGTCATTGTCATCGACAAATCCTTTCCATTACTACACTAAATAATCGATCAGACTATACAACTGACTGTGGCTGCTGTGCGTGCCTTTCTAAATTATTTCTTTTTCTTATTGTCAATGTTAGAATAAGATTGAAGAAACCCTCTCAAACTGTGCGCCAGACTTCTGTTATGTATTAGCAGTCCAAGAGTCAAGTCGAACAATGCTCTGCCAGGAGACAGATGATTGTGGTGACAGTAGGAAAACACTGGGTGGGTAACGAAACATAGTCGAACTGAATATTGCTAAATTGTATATTATAATGGTCTTTGTCTATCTGTCCAAGAGGCTCAGAGGATTACTTTTAAGTCATTGGAACAATTTGTCTTGATGGGTCATTGTCTTCGATGTGTGAAGTGACCATCAACGTAAGGGGGAGCTTTAGGGGCCAAGTGGCCCATTATTGCCAGTACTTATCCCTCGGAGTCTCTTACTCGAATCTTCTGTCGTCTCTTTCTGAATGGGATGCCAGTCAATGGGAAGCAACGTCCGAGCAGTTTATCTGGTTTCCCTGATAGTTGACTGGTACCCCTTAATGCTCCAGTATATACAGACAGAGGCGCAGCGATAGTAAGAGCCTTGCACACGAACACAACTGAAACCATCTGAAACCACCTGAAACCATCTGAAACCCCCATGAAAACCATCTGAAATTACCTGAAACCACCCAAGAAGCTATCTAAACCCACGTGAATTAAACATTATCGCAAATCGGTATCTTAATTTTCAGCATGACGCAAAGCTTCTGTATTTCTAATTTACTCTACTTTACGTCTATTTTTATCTGAATAGAGTAACTACCTACAAAACTGAACTTCACAGTGCAAAATTCCCGACGATTCCCTGACGGTCAAGGTTTATAAAACCCAGCGAATTTTGTTTAGTAAGATAACAATAAGAGTAGACCTCAAAATAAACAAGGTGTTAAGGATGGAGACGATTACTGCGGAGAAAGAGGTAGAAACTTTCTTCTACGGTAGTTTGTTATACAAGGGGCCTTCTTTGTATCGAGTTCAAATGGGTCACCGTGTTACTAAGCAAGTTGTTCTTTTTAGGTTCGCTCTACAAACCTGACCCTGTCAGGACATTAAATGATTTCCTTCAGGTTCAGGACACAGTCAATGACCCGCAACGAGTCAGCGCATTATGCATGTTGCTGTACTGCCGTTCAACTGGATCATCCACTGCGGGTAACAACGATTATTCTTGTCCCTTCGAGTTGTTCGTTACAGACGCCTCTTTAAAATACGGAACAAAGTCTTTGGAGAGCTCTGACGGATTCCTCCCATATGTGAAAATAACTGGAAAGAGTTCCCACGTGTTACCTTCAGAGCTGAGAGCTGTGCCCACGAATTGTGGAATGAACCTTTCCGCCAAGCATTTACTTTTAAAAGCCCAAGGTATGTGTGCAGTAACAGAGTATTCAACTGATCTGATATTGTTCAAACAGAAACATATCCACCTAAATTCTGGAGGGTCTTTTTTTTTGCTATACTTCGATTCCTTAATAGGATGGATTTTTCTTAATTTGTTTGGTTATTATAACAACTCAGCGATTTGATGATTTTAAGTTTTGATAAATTGTAGTGAATATTCTCGCGAACATCGTGACGTAAGCTGTGAGAAAAATACGCGTCTTGATCACCAGATATGAACAGATTGATGTGAAGACATGTGCTCGTGAATATTTGTCAGGAAATAAGTATTGAGTCACCCTTATATTGGTGTTGTTGTGTTACAGAATCCCACGAGCTATTTGCTGATTCGTATTCTGTGATCAGAAAAGTTGTTCCCCATTCCACTGCGGGGGCTAACGGCTCGGTAAGACTTGCGAGGTGAATTGTGAGTGGTTGTAATCATTTGAACAAAGAGAATTATCTCAGGTTGTGTCAATGATCTCCTAATTTTGTGTCATTGCAACATTTTTTTTTCACCTCATCCTATTATTTTTGCTCTGTTTGAGTTGATGTATCAACGCAAAAGTTTGTGTACTTTTTGTAGCTCTACGTAGAGTCTATACCAGAGGAGATTCTGGAAAGTCTCGACACCTTGAAACCACTTTGTCTTCCTGACCTAACAGTTCATTCGTGTCTTGGTTTCATTTATCGCATGGAAGGTTTGTCTTTCGTTTTGATTTGTGATCACAAAATTTTTAACAGTTATCCTGGCTGTAGACTTGGACATTTTCTCGCTGCCCTATTAACTGACTGAGCGACAAACTATTATTACTCGCTGGGTTACTGACTGACCGAATGACAGAATCACTAAATGACTGCCTGGCTGAATGATTCTCTGACTGTCTTATTACTTTGAATCTAGTTTGCTCGCGGACTGACTAGCCTGTGCACAGCCGCCCCATCCCCTCAAAAAAATCGGGGAGGGAGCGTCTGTGATTTACCGTTGCTAATCGTGTATGGGGACCACGTGATTTTTCCCGGAATGTGCGGAAAATGATCTCATTGGCTGTTACTCGTAGATCATTACATCATGTGAACCACGGGTTTCGATTGGTTATCAATTTCGCGGGGAATTGACCTCTGAAATGTGAAGCCTTCTCTCAAAGTACGCATTGCTCTCACAATAACATGTGCGCGAATTAGCGATGAGTTTGTGTGTTCTATGTGAGAAAAACATCGTTCAGAATTCAGATAAAAATCTCGTTGACCAACCCAGCTCGAGTATTAACGTCTGGGAGGAGTTGCTGTCGCTGGAGTTTAAAGTGTCTAAAGATTCCGCTTACATTTGCAGAAATTGCCTGTCGACTTTAAAGAAACGAAGGGGTCTTCTGACGAATCTTTGTGCTGTGAACTCTACGATTCGAAAGATTATCAGCTCGAAATCTTCTTCCGTTTTCCTGCCACCCGTTAAAGCGAATCCTACTCCTTGTTCAACCATCACGTTTGAAGCGGTGAAATCACAATTATTTTACTACTGCCACGTAGACGCGAGAACAGCTCATCGGCGACGATTGGGGCTGCATAAAAGATTGTCGGAAACAGGATAATTAGTATTGTAACGATTCAAAATTATCTGCCGGAAATCGAGTGTCACGATCTATCTGCTCCGATAAATCAGTTTGTTTATCTCTTTTGGGAAGGACTTTTTAGCCAATCAACTTACGTTTTGATCGAGGTGTGTTCGTGAGATAAGAAAACCAGTGTGAGTAGTTTTTTGGTCGGTCAGAGATCATGCGTAATATTGTTCTGTCTGCCTTTTGAAAATAAATTCTGGAAGAGAACAGTGACAGTGTGGGCCCCTCACTAATTCCCCACAAGATCAATGATTTCCCGTATCCAGTGGGAAGACTTGCATACACGTCTTTTCCTTCAAAAAGGGCTTGAAGACATTTTTCTTGCTCGGTATAGAGTGAAGTAATTTTAAAAACGTCGCAAACATTCTCAATTGCTCGATGAAAAGTAGTCACATTGACCGCCATTTTGAAAATCGGAATGAGTTGAGACCACGAAAATTTTGGTGAGCGGAAACCAGTTTTTTTAATTTATGCAAAGTTATTCCCATACACGATTAGCAACGGTAAATCACAGACGCTCCCTCCCCGATTTTTTTGAGGGGATGGGGCGGCTGTGCACAGGCTAGTCAGTCCGCGAGCAAACTAGATTCAAAGTAATAAGACAGTCAGAGAATCATTCAGCCAGGCAGTCATTTAGTGATTCTGTCATTCNGTTATCTTGATAACCATCCACTAAATTAGTGAGTTTAAAGTGAGTGAAATTTAATTTGTCTCCTGAAACTATTCGTCCCTCTTCTGATTTTCTTTTTCGTTATGTTGTGATTCAGCTTGGTATTTCGTTCAAATTTCATTTTACTAATAGTTATAAACTGACAACAAAGTTAGTAAATGTAATACTGTTTGATTGCAGCTTTATCAGAGTACAATTGATAAACTGTTGCTCAAGTCCTGTCAAGACAGTGATCAGGTGGGACGGTTGATCTTATATTGTAGATATTTCCCCTCGTGTTAAACTATTAGCAGTCCATCCTGTCGCAAAATCTTGTCTGCACCGCAAACGAAACGAATGTATCAAGTTGCCCTTACAGCTGCTTTGTGAAGTGAAGTACGTGTTTCACTTATCAGTCAGTACTGACATGGAGTAGCATTCAACAATGTGACTAGACCTCTGACTGAAAATATCACGCAACGGAAGCAATTTACGTTGTTTTTGTCTCCAAATGACGTCATAACCAAAGATCGTCACAAATTGTAGATTTCTCTGTTCGAATTTACACTCGAGTCTTACCTGTTAGAAAACGCAACATTTGTTCTGTTAAAGCGTAACCACAGAATCGTAATTTCAGGTAACTTTATCTTTACTGAGTCACTGTCGTTTTCTCCACAGGGATATGATATTGATACTGTTTTAGGCAAACGGCTTGGACCACTAAACTGTTACGTCACAGATCTTTCCAAACAACAACATGGCAGCCTTGCTAAGACTAGCTTTACTGTGGAGGAGATACGGATCCAGTAGATCAAACCAAGGTGCGTCTTTTGTGATGTGAAACTCATGCTTAAATAGTATAGAAAGAAAGTTTTCATGGTTTGAGAATGACTAGAGAAAGGTTAATAATTCTTTAACCCTACAGCAGGTTGATGTACCAAGTGCGCCATTGTCAATTATGGACATTTACTGGACTGGTAAAAATGGCTTGCAGTTCAGCTCGTGCTATTCGAGAACCTGATAGCGCGCGACTCCCAATTTTTAAAGCTGTCTATGACGTCCAATTAACTGACGACACAAAACACAAGGTCACTTAACGTCAACGTTTGCTTGATTTAAAAACCCGGAGAAAAATAAAGTAATTTTTGAAAGTGATAGTGAAATTAGTGCCACGTTAGGAAATTGCAAATCGAGGTAAGTTCTTCTCATCAGAGCAAATACAATATCTAATTGACTAAAGTTTTCTTTTTCTTTCTTGTTTTTCCCTGGTTTAAGGAGAACAAAGGACATCATGAATATTACAGTTGACACGTTATATCAAAAACTTCACATCCTCAAAGAAAAAGGACAAAAACTGCTTCAACGCAATAACACCATGAGAAAGATCAAGCAGAGCAAAATATGTGTGCAAAAAGACGCCATCCTCATTACACTACTTGGAGTCGTTGGCTGTCTGATTCTGTCTCCGTTTCTTCTTATCTCAGTTGTTGTTATGGCGCCCTTAGCTTTACTTTTCTGTTCGGCAATGGCGCTTCTCATAATGTCGTTCTTATTTATTTTCGGATTTCTTCTGAATTGTTGTTTGGTAATGTTTGCAGTTGTATCGTCATGTTACATATTGTACCACATCTGCTGGCTCGCCATTTGCCGAATCCAAACATATTGTACGTTCATAGAGTGTTCTCCCTCATCTTCGTGTCAGTACCTTAGAGCGCGAATGTGCCAGGTTTTATTACAGCTCGTAGATAGTTTGTCTGACGACATACCGCAGCAAAGAAAGGATGGTCGAAGATACATGAGACCTAGCGATTCGAGTGAGCTGGAAGATATTGAGCCAGATTACCGAGACAGAGAAACCAAACTGTACGACGCTTTAGTGAACAGTCCTCAGAAAACTGGCAAGGACACCTTTGAACCGTTCCCATATTGAAACTGTTATACGCATGAAATAATCATGAAATAATCATGAAATATACGCATGAAATAATTGTTTAATAATCTGTTTTGAGCAATAAATTCTCAAGAATAATTATTTAACGTTCCTATTCTTGGCCAAAGCCCAGCTCCCGTACTTTCAGTTAGAGATGTGGGTATCATACCAGAGTCAAACCTTACATTTCATGAACGTGTAAACACGGACTTGTCCCTTATCTCCACCCTGTGACAGATAAGCAGTTGGGCGTTTATTTTCCAAATCCATGCTCTTCACTATTTTGAATTTCTTGGTTTTTAGTAAGCTCTTATCGTTCTACTTTATGTTGTGGCACTTTCAAGCCGAACACGCATAAATTGCAACTTGTACAAAAGTTTGCTGCTCGCGTGTTAACTATTACTAGGAAGTTCTACCATACCAACCCGGGAACTGGGTTGGTCCTCCATTAAACATCAGCTGTAAGTACGTGATGTCACACAGCTGTGAATGGACTGGCGCCCTCCTACTAAAAAGCCACATCAGAAAAAGGACAGGAGTCCATATTTATAATACCAGATTTACAGGAAACCTGGAAGCTCCTTGGTACAGGACAGACGACTTCACAGCGTTCCTTTCACTATCGATCTATTAACTCTTGGAACTCGTTAGGCGCAAGCTCAAGAAATAGTAAAACGCTCAATAGCTTTATGCGTGGCGCAAAATTGGAGCCATGGCACCGAGAACTACCGGTAGGTGACTGACTGCACGACAAAAACAGGTTTTATATGTCATTAAGAGTAATAAGTCAATAATAAGTATTATGTTCAAAAATATGACAAACAGTGATAAACGTATTGAACTTGTACATTTTGATTATGACTTGACGTTTCGTAGTACTCCATATACATTTTCAAAAGTAACCGTTAAAATTTAAAACAGCTATGTATATTTAGTATAATTTCAAAGCTGAGCAAAGAGTTTCCAGCAATCTGATTGGTCGAGCGGTTCCTTATATGACGCTATACAAACCGCTCCACTCGGTTTATATAAATGTTAAAATAAAATGTTAATAATGTTGCTAAAATGTTATGATTTTAGAAATTTCTCTGTTGTTCAGCTCTGAAATTATACTAAAACAATTATTCACCTCAGGTTCGGTGAATATTGTCGAATAATCCCCTCGACTTCGTCTCAGGGATTATTCGACGATATTCACCGAACCTGAGGCGAATAATTGTTAAATAGAACTAAGGTTAGGGGGACTGGAACCAAGATTAAGCGAAAAACTTAACAATAAACAATAACACTAGAGCAGATTAATGAAACAACAGCTTTTCACTTCCGAAGTTCACGTTGAAAGCTGGCTCAAGTTATTCAATAAGTAAGGACTCTGATTTTACAAAGGTAGTCTGTTTTGNGCCAAAATATCAAAATGATCCCACTTGATATTATGTCCAGTGGCCTTGACGTGGTCGGCAATGGCTGAAGTATTGTCATTTTTAGCGAGGGCCTTAAAATGTTCGGTTTTTCTATGGTGAAGCCGTCGTTTAGTTTTCCCAACGTAACAACCATTACAATCCCCGCAATTTGCTTTGTAAATAATTCTGGATTGTTGTGAACGATCAATAATTAGATTTCACGGTAAATAAGAAATTTTTCCTTTCTTTTTCCAAATTTTTATATGAAATTGGAAGAGCCATACAGTGGAAATTTGATAAAGATACTGAACTGTACTGTGACGTCGAGCCCTTGAACTGGATATCTTACGAATATTTAAGTGAAACGAGTCAAGTAAGCGGTTTTGTTCGAGTTCGAGGATTTATTATGTGCGGGTGTTCAAGTGTCATCGTTTGATATTCAAAGTTGAGATAAAAATTATTAAAAAGACAATTTTTCGAAGCAACTCCTGGTGAACTGTTGTGAATTGTCAATTTATGAACCTCTCTACCGATGCAGTTGGCATGTCGGTGAATAACATCCCTCGCATAATGAAAATTCTCTTCCTCGTCATATTAAAATCTTATCAAACAGCAAAAAAAAAAAGTATAAAAAATATACGCTTCTTTTGTGCACTGCTGATTTGCCGATGTTTTTCTTAATGATTTCCCCATGAAAAGGTTATAACTTTAACAGAAGAGAGATTGACGCCCCTATATACAAAGCTTTGTTGATAATAAAAACAAAATTTTCAGTCAAGCCTTTATTATCTTCACGTTCATTCATGTTACAAGTCATCATTTGGAATTTGAAATATGAAATCCTCACTTCCTTCTTAAGATACTCAAGGAACCGAGCTATGTATGCATTTCATAACAGTGTCGTACTTCTCATTTCTTTTATTAAAAATAAAAATGTTCGTATGGTTTTCTTTATCTTCCGGGGTTGACCCCCGCCCAACCCTACTTCCGAGCTATCCGTTCAAGGTTCGCGACCGAAATCTAGTGGGTACGTCATGTATGCCGAAACCCCGATGGCTGCCAAGGTGAAGACAAACTCCTTCTCTAGGCGTATTTTATGTGTCGGACTTGCAGATCTTGATATTGTAAACACGTGTGAACGGTATCCTAATGAGGATGAAGATGTCAGAGCAATATCACAACTATGGCAAACTGGTGGGAACGCATGTAACACCTCCACTGTGCTGGCAGGACTGGGAATTGACTGCGAACTGTTTGGAACCATGTCGTGTGGACCACAGGCTGATTTTCTTTGTCAACAGATCAGAGAGCAAAAAATTCGTTATGACAACTGCGTCTTCCACAAAAATTGTGGAACGCCAGCATCTTGTGCTGTTTTGAGCCTCAACAGAGGTAGTAGAACCATTGTGCATTCCAGAAACAATCTCCCAGAACTTGAAGTTGCAGATTTTGTGAAACTTAACTTGACAAACTACAGGTGGATTCACTTCGAAGGAAGGAGAAACGAGAAAGCTATTGTGCAAATGATTGAAAAAATCGAGGGATTTAACGCCAATCGGTCATGTGACGAAAAGATTACTGTGTCTGTGGAGTTGGAGAAACCTAGAGAATCTCTTCTTCTTTTACTTAACAAAGCCGATGTTGTATTCATTAGCAAAGAGTTTGCTCGATTTCGCGGGTTCTCTTCGTCCGCGGAAGCTGTCAAATCCATTTGTGACAAAGTCAAATCTGGTGCCGTGTTGATTTGTGCTTGGGGAGAGGAGGGTGCGGACGGAATTGGTCCTGATGGTGAAATAAAACACAGCAATGTGTACCCCCCTGAAATAGTAATTGATACGCTAGGAGCGGGAGACACATTCAATGCTGGAGTCATTTATGGTTTGCATGGAGGATTGACACTTCAAGGCACATTAGATTTTGCTTGTTTCCTGGCTGGTGTCAAGTGTGGTATCCAAGGTTACAATGGCTTGGCCAAAGCTGCAGCAAGTCATCATTGCGGGGAGACTTGTATGAAGGGATTATTGAGCAAGACCTAAGGTAATCCCTTCATATTACTCCTACCACTAAAACTAATTACATGTTTATTTCATCTTTTAGATACCACCCCACAATAAATATTGAAAACATTGAATCAAAGAATTATATAAAATACCTGGGAGTCTATATCGATATGCACCTAAATTGGCAACCACAAATACAACATATAAGCAATAAAATAGCAAAAAACATTGGAATTCTTACTATATTGAGACATTATGTCGAATTTAATATGTTAAAGCAATTATGCTATGCTTTGATATATCCCTATTTAAGCTATGGTACAACTACCTGGGGCTGTGCCACCAATACTAACTTACGTATGATGGACGATCCTCGCAGTAGATAGCGCTATTTGAGCAATAGCGAAATTCAGACCTGAAAAAAATCAGGCCTGTACGGGACTCGAACCACTGACCTCTGCGATACTAGTGCAGCGCTCTAACCAATTGAGCTAACAAGCCAACTGAGAGCAGGCCGTTAAGTTGATTCGTAATGAACCCGTGAAAGTGATAAATGAGATAGAATAAATATATGAAAATCATATATTTTGAACTGCGGTATTTGATACGTATGATGGACGATCCTCGCAGTAGATAGCGCTATTTGAGCAATAGCGAAATTCAGACCTGAAAAAAATCAGGCCTGTACGGGACTCGAACCACTGACCTCTGCGATACTAGTGCAGCGCTCTAACCAATTGAGCTAACAAGCCAACTGAGAGCAGGCCGTTAAGTTGATTCGTAATGAACCCGTGAAAGTGATAAATGAGATAGAATAAATATATGAAAATCATATATTTTGAACTGCGGTATTTGATACGTATGATGGACGATCCTCGCAGTAGATAGCGCTATTTGAGCAATAGCGAAATTCAGACCTGAAAAAAATCAGGCCTGTACGGGACTCGAACCACTGACCTCTGCGATACTAGTGCAGCGCTCTAACCAATTGAGCTAACAAGCCAACTGAGAGCAGGCCGTTAAGTTGANATAAATTCAGAATATGCTGTCTTACGTATAAGATTAATATTAAAAGTGATAGCATTCCAGATATCTTCCTTGATATCCTGACCCCAGCATCTGGAAAACATAATTATAATACAAGATTTGCCACTAATAATAACTTTTTTAGACCAAGAGTATCCACCAACATGGGAAAATCATCTTTAATATTCTCTGCTTCAAAGATATGGGAAACTGTACCCACTTATCTTAAATATATGCCTTACAATAATTTCAAGAGAATGGAAACATCAACTTTTACTCAACCAAACCTGATCATTTTACTTTGCTGCTGATCTACTCTCAAGGAAAGATGTAAACTTCAAAAAACTTCAACTTTTGTTGAACAAAACCTAATCACTTTATTTACTTTACTGCTGATATACTTTTATTATAGGCTGCTATCTATGTATCTATTTATATGACCATTACAGTGTCCAACTAGAAAGCCTTTGCTACTTTGGACACCGTGCACCTCTCAAACTTATCTTTATAGCCAAATATTACTATTATTCTTCCCTCTTTCTCTTACTTTTCAATGTATATTAACTTCTATTAATAGTGTGAAATAAATAAAGTTCAAGTTCAAGTACCACAATGGTGGAAGACATTTGAGATGTAATATGTAGGTGTATGTGTAGGCAGCTATTAAGCTTGCAAAGCAGTCATCTTTGTTTCCTAACTGGCAAGTGCCAAATGAGAGAAGTGTATGGTGTGAGCAAGGCAAGAGTTTTGTATTGTAAAGGCACAGGGAGAAAGGTAGCAAATTCATTCAAATGAAGGAAAGGAAAGAAAATTCAGCTTGTTGGTGAGTGTAGATATTTTACCAAAAGCCCTAGAAAGTCTGATGACTCCATTAGGGCTACAAAGGTCATGAACTGTCAAGGAAGAACTAATCAAATTTCTTTTGGATAGTTTATGGAGTAGTCTGAATAATCCTACACTCTGATAATGATGGCATTGGGGAAAAAAGTACATATCTTTGAAAAAAAGCTTTGGTCTTACTTGATCTGATCTCTGAATTAAGCTCTAACCAATCAGTTAACATTGTTAGCTTTTTAATAATGTTTGCAGAGTTAATGTAAACAGAGTTGCAGATGGACACTTATGTTTTGTAGTTAAATTCATCACCAACTTAACCAGCAACCTCTCAAATCTTACTTTTCAGTTTAAGTGAACAATATAAAATCAGAAATACAAGTTAAAAAAATTAATGTATTTATAACGAGGAAAAATGAATTAAAAAATCTCTCACTGTTCACTCTTTAGAAGTTTTATGTAACAAAAGCCCTTATTTTTAATGGCCATGTCCTTTTTTATGAGTTGTCAGCTGAATACAGGTTACTGTCATGACAAATATGGGCTTGAGGACCTAAGCTACTCTCCCCTTCAACCCTGAACACCCCAACATTGGTATGACTGTATATTCTCTAAACTGTTCTGCATACATTTCCTGAGGTGCTGGCTAGGAGAATTTGTTTAACAATCATGACCTTTAGTTTGTGATCATCTTGTGACCTTTTAAAAAAAAAGATATTTGATTCCTGAAGGGAGGATACTGCAGGGAATGAAAAATTAGACACTAGTTACTCTTGGGGGTGTAAAGGGTCACTGAAGGTAAGGTGAGATTAAAATAACTGCAACGGGAAAGAAACTATTCTCCTGCACTAGTTGTGCTGTAAACAAAGCGCAAGTAGTTGTTGTACCAGATTTAAGTCTCATGACATCCACATGTGAGTTAGCCAAATTTGTCCAGAGAAACAGATTTTCCTTGTATCTCTGCTATTTAAAAAGTGAGGGAGGAGGGGGTGCTTGGTTCACACTATGGCCTATGGAGTGAGCACTAATTTTGGAGGCCTTCTGTGTGGTTTAAAAAAATCATTTATTCAAATTTTCTCATGTAACATATCAGACATTCTGTAAGTGTACAACTAAACAGCACAATAGTTTATCAACTGGAGAAATGGCAAGTATTTACAAGAGAGGTGCAGGGATTTTTGGTAATAGGTTTTAGATGTGGCTATAGATATCTGATTTGTTGAAACCGCAAACCTTCCAAAGCCATGAGAAGTTGAAACATACTTCTGAACAACTTTTATATGCTAAGTGCCTGGTACAAACCTACTCAGAGGTGAACAAAAATGTACGGTTACAATCAAGGTATGAGCATAAGATCAGTGTGGAGGTCAGCAAGCTACAGCACAAAGATGAAGCTTAGAATCTATCAGAGCTGCATATTGTCAACTCCTTTACAGCTTGGAATGCTGGCGAATGACAGAACAAGATCTCTCAAGACTAGCATCCTTCCACACAGCTAGCTAGATATTCATACACTTGTCACCAGGAGAAGATGGAGGTGGATTGGACATGTGATGCGGAAGCCCAGTAACAACATAGCCAGGATTGCAATGCACTGGACACCTGAAGGCAAACAAAGCAGAGGGCGACCGAAAACAACTTGATGCAGGACTGTAGACTAAGGGAGCTCAATTACAGCTGGAGCACCATTGAAAAACTGGCTAAAGATAGGCAGGGCTGGAAGGATTTCGTTGCTGCCCTATGTGCCACACAAGCATGATGGGCAGAAAGTAAAGTACATATCAAGGGTGATTTATTGTTCCCCCAAGGCCAACTGTCCTCTCAGTAATTTACATTTTCAAGAGATTTGACATATTTCATAAACTTACTCTAATTTCCTTTAGAATTTACTCAGCAATGATTTACCTGATCCTGGCAAATGTTTTTATTCTCATTTTCATCTTGCAACCTATGAGAGCTCTTTGATTTTATTCAAAATTTTCAATTTTATTTACAGACAACAGTAATTGTCCTAAGCTACAGAGTAGTATCAGCATTGCACAAAGCAATATTTTAACTGACAAATTCTCACATTAATCCTAATTTAAGCTTTCTTTGCATCCTAATATTTTGCAATTGCCATCTTTGCTTGTTGAAAGCTAATAAGTCAATAATGAACACAACTATTAGAAATGGAATCCACCCATTGGTAAGGGCTGCGGAGTTCCAAACTTGTATCCTTCATTTGTAGCTTCTGGAGCAATATGCTCTGTTTCCTCAGCACTCTGAAAAACGTAAAGCAACACAAAGTCTCTTATAAAGAACTATTTGAAAATTTTCTTTTTATTTTTAGTATTGGGGTGACAGTTTTCTTTAGCAAGTGCCAAAGGTCAAAGCCTTATTAATTTAGTCAAAACAAAATTTTAGTTCACTGTAGCAACTTATTTACTACTGAAAGAGTTCTAAAATCTGTTGGGTTATCAATAAATTAGATATCATGATAAAGAGGTTTGGCACAGAGCTTCTCTTTGTGTGCACATAAATAAGCATTCCTGGGGTTGTCACATAATAGTACAGTGTAGTTTCTTAATCTAAAACAAAGGAAACAGGACTCGCACTTTTATGTAGGTAAAAGGATAACAAAATAGGCCCACAATTCATGAAAGAGGTCATTGCCACACTAAATCTAATGGTTTTAGGCTAAGCTGAGAAACGACGTAACATTTTTTAGAAGAAATGAAACTTCAAAGTTTTCAAGGAACTGGAGTAATGAAACAGTTTTATGTTACCTCATCTGAGAAAAATTTGTCAATTATTGCCAGAGCAGCTTTGTACACCTCAAAGTTTTGATGTGTCTGTAAACCCTCAATTCTTTGGACACCTGAGCACGGTAAATAAAAACAACATCAGTTAGTTCGAGAATATCAGTTAGTTTGAGAAAAATGCTAACATTAACAGGTAAGTATGATGCACGATCCTCGCAGTAGATAAATAGCGCTATTTACGCAATAGCGAAAATCAGACCTGAAAAAAATCAGGCCTGTACGGGACTCGAACCACTGACCTCTGCGATACTAGTGCAGCGCTCTACCAATTGAGCTAACAAGCCAACTGGGAGCAGGCCGTTAAGTTGATTCGTAATAAACCCGTGAAAGTGATAAATGAGATACAATGAATATATGAAGTTCATATATTTTGAACTGCGGTATTAGATACGTATGATGCACGATCCTCGCAGTAGATAAATAGCACTAACGAGCCAACTGGGAGCAGGCCGTTAAGTTGATTCGCAATAAACCCGTGAAAGTGATAAATGAGATACAATGAATATATGAAGTTCATATATTTTGAACTGCGGTATTAGATACGTATGATGCACGATCCTCGCAGTAGATAAATAGCACTAACGAGCCAACTGGGAGCAGGCCGTTAAGTTGATTCGCAATAAACCCGTGAAATTGGTCAATTGGTAGAGCGCTGCACTAGTATCGCAGAGGTCAGTGGTTCGAGTCCCGTACAGGCCTGATTTTTTTCAGGTCTGATTTTCGCTATTGCATAAATAGCGCTATTTATCTACTGCGAGGATCGTGCATCATACGTATCTAATACCGCAGTTCAAAATATATGAACTTCATATATTCACTGTATCTCATTAACAGGTAAATTAGCTCAATTTCATGTTTTTGAAGAGAAATTGAAAACTTGTACTTATAAACTAACTGTGACTTTGGCTCCATACTTTAACCTGTACAAGCAATCATATTGTTATGCATACCATCATGCTCTTCCATTTGGGTGCATATCAGCTCAAGGATGGGAGCATTTTGACTAGCAGTCTGCAGAAAGAACATTTCATGCAATTTTAATGATGAAATAACAAAAATGTATCTACCTTACATCTACAACATGCTATGCCCATCTTTTTCAAGTTCAAACCAGTGGGTAGCAAGAAATAATTTGTTCTATAAATTATTGTATACTTTTGTGGTTTGGCAATAATTATCTAAAAAATATCACATTACTGATGGCAAAAAGTAACTCCATAGCATTTTACACAAAACAGCCCTTTACAGCACCTTTTGGTATTGTATGTACTCTAAGGTAGATACTCACAGAGAGGATGTTTCTGAATCCATCCAAAAGAACAAGAATTACCTACAATGCAAAGCCACAGAGTCAGTCCACCTGACGCAAAAAATTCATAGAACAGAGCTCTCTGCTGGAGCTGGCTGAGCTTTTAATCATCACAAATTAATCAGTGGCTCTTCCAACTGCCAGAAGGCAAGTCAATTGGTTATTTACACAGGGCAGCCAGGAGTTGACCTCAGGGTAACCAAAAAATTATATACCACAAGTGGTAGGGTGCAGGACAACCTGGTTTATTGTTCAATAGTCCTCAATCTTTCTGCCATACTACCTCCTACCCAGTATATATGATGGCAAAATCAACTACAATGAAATAAAACCCACACCATTACCTTGGCATCCAAAACATTCAAGAGACTACACATTGGCTCAATGACCCCATTTTCAACAAGGAAGGTTATCTATAAAAATATCCAAACAATAATGGCATATGTCAGGGTGACATGAGATGTTTGGGTACCATAGCATGAGCAGAATTATTTACCTTGACTGAGATAAAAAATGCTTACAATGGAAATAAAAACCACTGATCTTAAAAAGTTTCAACAAGGGAAACAAAACATGGGTAAGAAAACAAGAAAAATACACTGTCACAGCAAAATGGTCAGGTGGTTGTCAGAGTGTTTGCCTAAATCTTGATGAGCAAATCTGTTAAATGTAATTAATGTACATGAGGGTCTGGTACTTTGGATCAGGGAATTTCTTGATAGTTCTGACTTCATTCCTGTGTAATTATTTATTATAGCAGGTAAATATTATCACAATTTTGATGTTTGCTACTTCTGTGAGATGTTAGGGGAATCCTGTTCCACATTTTCATCAGATAGATGTGCAGTGTGTGCTAAGGGCAAACCTCACAGTACCTGGTCTATTGTGCTGGCTGATGTAAAGTTGGTGATGGCCCACACAGCCTCTTTCTGGCTCTTCAAGTCCTTTCCCTAGGATTGGTATTAAGTCAAGTCTTATGATAAGTCAGGTAATTCAACCTGCCACAGCACAATATACCTTCTATGGCAATGGATAACTAAGAAAATCGCAATGTTCAGAGCTGTTTTCCACAAACCTTTAGAACATCTACAATGGAAGGTACCAAGCCTGCATTAATTACAGCCTGAAAAAATTGATAATAGAAGAGATTAGTTATTATAAGTTGTCTGTTTACACTCACATGTAAATACTCATTATCATATTTCTTAAGGATCCTTTCAATGAAGGGAGGGTTGAAGCTGAAGGAAGAGCATAACGGAAATGACTATCATGATGGTAAAAATCAGACCTCTCTATTCTGTGCTGGTTTCATGAACTTCTAGATATTCTAATGTTTCATACACTGTAAGTAAACAGTAAGTTAACCCTTGACTGTTGTTGGGTTGAGGGGGGGTGCCCAGTTGCACAGATACTTACAGAGATCCAAAAAGTGTGAACAACCACAGTTAAAAGTCCAATATACCATGCTGCAGTTAAAAGCTAACAATCAATTCATTTTTTGATTCCACAAGATCAGCAAATACCTGTATATCCTTACCTGAATTTGTTCTTTTGGCCCAGCTGTAATATTTGATATTGCCCAGGTTGCCTCCTGTTGGAATTTAAATTGTTTTTCAGATAAAAGCCTTTTCACATTTTTGCTCATGGATACTAACCATGGAAACCTTTTATCAACTGTGCAATGAAGAGAAAGGAATGAGAAGCAGTGAAGAGAACTTTTCTGGAATATATATTACAAACTGAGCCAATTTGAAGAATTCTTTCACCTGTCATGCTTAAAATAAGGGAGGACACTGCTGGAACATGTAAACAGTTAAAATGATCATAGTTAACTACTACAATCACTCATTAATTTTGGTTTTATCAAGTGAGTGGATAATGCACGAGTTTTAAAGCTGCTGTTTCAAGCATAAGCCCTTCATCAGTGAGCGTATTACAGTAGCCAATTTACATTACCAACTTGTTTTATCAAACCAAAATTACCTTGTTAAAATCCCCCACTCGTGCAGCACAGAAGTTTCTTGAGAAACTTACCCCCTTTATAGTTACAACTTTAACATCACCAGGTTTACACTGACCTTAACAATGCTGGCTTTAGGGTGTGACAAAAGCTTTTTAAAGAAGAACAAGGCATTTTTCTCTATCACCAACTGAAATAAATTGATATAGGAAGATTGTTAACAAGTGCATATTTCACTGAAATGTAATTTGCACACATCAACTTTTGAATGGGTCTGCTTCAATCTGCATACTATTCAACACCAACAAGTGCCAGTGGCACTGGAGCCAGATCAACTGAGACACTGGTGCTGCACTACATTTCCTCAAAGACAGTAGACATTGTCAGGTAGATTACACTCAACACCAAATTGAAACTAGCTGCTTGAAGCTGTAGATATCATGGTTCATCTCTTTCTTTAGTTTCATGGCCGAGTATTGACCAATTACCTTTGGTCAACATTTTGATTGATTTTTAATTGATATATCAGCCCATACTCTGTCACCTTGTCATTCAAGTTGGTTGCTGTGTCAGTCGATAACTGGTGCATATACCGATGGACATTCTGCCAACACCTCTGTTATGTTGCTTTGCATCAAATTGATAGAGTGTTGGTGGTATATTATTGTCAACTGTTGTTTTGCTGGAATGGTAGCTGTCTCTTAGCTCCTTCCACTTACTGTAATTTCTGGCCAATTATTGCATGCAGCAAAAAAAAAAGAGTCAACAGATTACCTACACTGGTGGATAACCCACACCTTAAAAGCAAAGGAAATTTGTAAAAAAATTCTCTAGAATTCACAATGTTTCATACTTGACAGAATACGAATTCGTGGCCACAGTTTGTGTGAGCGATCATGCTCATGTTCAGCACCATGTTGATTTGTTGATTTCTCAAAAGAGAAAGTTGATTTCTCGATGTTGGTCAACATGTTGGCTGATAGTTGCTTGACATGTCATCCAAGTATAAGCCGACATATTGATTGTCATGTTGACTGATAGTATTGTTAGATGCCTATTAAGTAAACATGACCCTATTTGATTTTTCACACCAGTTTTTCTTCATCTACCTCTCCCCTTACGGAGATTGTTCTGAGTCAGAAGGAAACCAACCTTGAACTGGATTTCACATGGAAAAATGGAAAAATGTGAACCACATAATATTGGTGGACAATTACTTACTTGTGTCTGAAGATCAGATCCTGTCACTATATTACCAACAGCTCTCAGGGCTGGTGTCTAGAAAAAAGAACAGGTTGCAACATGAACATTTATATCAATGGTGATAAGTAATAACATCACCATGGTTATTCTCCCTGGAAAGGTTTAGCAGGAGAACCATTAGAGACTACATGTATAAGCACAGGCTCCTTGATCACACACGGACACAAAAAAACTAATTGCTACAGTATAATTTTTGTTTATAAGCTTACCACAACAGTCACTTCAGTGTGGCCCAATAAATTGATCAATGATGGAAGAATTCCGGAATCAATTACAAGCTGATGCACAAGAAGAAACAATGACTCAATCAATGGTTAAAATGTACAGGACTAAAGTTACAGTTTACAATTCTTTTTTTCAAAAGTGCACCACACAAAAGTAAGGAAGCTGTGCTCAAAAACAGAAGGCACTAGGATTGGTTGTAACTGACTTTTATTGAAACCACCTGTGAGTGACTTACGAAGTTCACTGCATGTACTGGTTACCAGACTCTTCAGGATCAAAGATTGTTCTTTTTCCTGAGTTTAAAGGTAGGTTTTGGGGAACAACTCCTAACTTAATCAAGGGGACACATGTCCATGTTCCTCAGCAAGTTTTCAAAAGCTCATTGCTCCTTAAAATGGCAAACACCACAGCGTACACTATTGAGTTATGGATGCACACGGGAGGTTGCTAAGCACGAAAGAAGCGTAAGAGTCGCTCAAGGCGATAGCCAAGAGCGACTCTGACTAGCTTCTTGAGTGCAGCCATAACTCAATAGTGTACACTGTGGTGTTTACCATTTGTTTTATAACGTAACATTGACACATTGTAGTGAGAGTTTCCTTTTATTTAACAAATATTACGTGACCAGAAAAAACAAACGCGTGTGGAAAACTAGTCTTTGCATTTGCTCACGTCAGCAGCGTACACCCATGGGCAAATGGGGGATGCTGAATTGACCAATCAGGGCGTGCACTTTACTTTGGTTATGTTATAATTATTTTTCTGGTCACTTTCTTCATTTAACGCACTGAAGATGGGGGGATTTCACACCTAAGTTTATTAAACTACATTTAAGAAGTATAGGGACATGCAAGCTTGTTATATTTCTAGTGCAGTCTTTAATCATCATGAAAAGGAGGAGGAAGGGAGAAGCGTTATACACTTATTTTCAAAACAAGGGCTGGCAACCAAGCTTAAAATACTTACTTGAATTCTATCATTTGTTCCATCAGTCAAATATGACAAACCCCAACAAGTGTCAGAGAGAATCTGAAAAAAATTAAATAAAAATACAACAAAACATGAGAATGTATCTAGTGTATAGTAAACAACAATACACTGAAAAAGTACCATCAGTGATAGTTTTTAATCCACATTAAACATGTTCTAAAAATAATGGTGTATTTCAATGATAGACCTTCAGGCTACTCTGGGGTTAACTGTTTACCTCTTTGTCTGTATGATTGATCAACAGTACCAAAGCTGGAAGGATCTGAAATAAAAAAGTCAATGGTGAACTGATAAATCATTTGATTTCAAACATGTCAGATAACTCTAAACAGCTTTAAAGAGTATTTTCCTCAAGGTTTGGGCTGGTAAATAAAAATACCGAAAAATAACCAAAAGGGCAATTTTTTTAGTAAAATTCTAAAACATTCACAACACAATGAAATTAAAACAAAACTTTTGATTCATGCTTACATATAATGCAGCCATTGAAATTTAGCCAAAGAAATTCATTGTCAGTAGTGACTAAAGAATTCTCCAATTTGGAATGAACTGAAGCCTCCAAATATTCTTGGTCTGAATATCCAATCAGGAAAAAATAGCAGTAAATATTATTTTAAAAAACCTTTGCTGATTTATTAAGGAGTCTCATGCCTCAATCATATTTATTTCTATGAGTATCTGTTCTGAATCAGCTTTCCTCACCTCAATAACTGCTGCTATCTCTGGAGGTGGGTTCTTGTTTCGGCACAGATTTGACAGTGTCCATGTTACATTGCGAAGAAATGGGAGCTGTCAAACACATAGATTAGTAAAAATTAAAAATTGTCAAAATAATCAAGCTTGCACTCAAATGCTTAAAGTTTTGGCTCCACACTGTTATAGTCTTCACTGTCTAAACAAATGGCACAATTTAAGGAAATCAAACTCGGGTTAAAGAAACTACATTTAAGGTAAATGTTAAAGTCAAAAGCATTGCCTTACATTTTGGTTTGGTTTGATCAATTCCAGTAAAGGTCTCAAAGCACCATGGCCCAAGACAAAATTTCTAAGATTTGGACCATCACCTGAAACATAAAAATATCCATTTTTCAGCAGGCTGACATGCAACTGCAATATGTTGAATGATGCTTCATCATCAGTATACCCTGTAGAAATGATTGCAGGTCAAAGTAATGTTCACAGCTAGAGGGACTGATTGACTGACAGCCTGACTGCAACCTAAATACTGCTAATACATAATAGACACACTGACTGATAAACTGACTCAGACACTGACTGACTTTCTTAGTACACTGCTTTCATCTTCAATTTAAGGGGAGAATTTACTTCCTTACTTTGTTTACCTTTTATCTGGATCAAGGTCAAACTAAAGTTTAAAATAATTGTTTTATGGAATGAGAAGAACCAGAGACATTGGAGAAATAGACTTAGAGCAAGGGCCAGTAATAACCACAAACTCCAAACCCACGTTTAATGCCACGTATTGGAGTCACACCTGGGTTAAACTGGTCACTCAAGCTTGTTTCTCTAAACATTATGCTGCAATTATTCCTTATATTTTTCCAATACACTAACGATGAGTAACTACATGTTAACTCATATTCATGTGTTATAGAAAGCCAGGAGGTATATTAAGCTGCACTCTGAGAGTTGATTGACAATACCTGCTATATTTCCCAGAGCCCACACAGCCTGTTCCTGAACTTGAGACTCGGGTGATGAAAGCAGGCTGACAAATCTGGGCACAGCACCTTTACATAAGGAAAAAATAGGGTAATAATGAACTCAAAAGTTCAGAGCATTTCAGCAATTAAAGTTTAACAGTTTACAGGTTGAATATATCAAGTAAGTGCAGCAACAAATCATGCATTATAAATCATGCAAATTAAGTTACAGTGACTGCTTGTGTCCAACTAAAATTGCCAATTTAATCAATAATTGTAGTTCAGGTGTTAAAGGGACCCCTACTCTTTAACTGGACAAGTTTTTCCTTTATATAACCACCCTCTACAATGATTAACACCACAGCACACTCTAACATTTGAACTTCAATAATTATCAAATGCAATCCATTGAAAGGAAACCAGTTTGACTGTCACTGTTATTATTACTTGCTATCATCACCATCATTATAATTATTGCTATAATTTTATTTATGATTAAGATTCTAACTGAAGACCATTACTCTCTTCTCTCCCAGTGATCAATGTTTGTCTTGCAATCCCTTCTATTTCATCTCAGGGATTACAAAAGACATTTACCCAGCATTTTGCAAATGACAGCAGTTAGTAAAATGTTGAAACAGAAAAAGGTGACCAACCTGATTCTACTACAACTTTTGTCTCATCAGAGGAGCCTGATGCAATGTTTGTTAGCACCCAGGCAGCCTCAAATTGAATGGAAGGACTGTAGAGAAGCACAAAAAACATAAATAAAATCCTCATGCAATTTCCTCCCCAAATCATTACTCAGTGATTCACAGCATCTCAAATAAACATGGGTAATTTCTAACTACTGTGGGAACATTCATTGAAAAAAAAAAAAAGAAAAGATAACACAAAAAACAAACACACACAAGAAAAAATTATGTCGACAATAGCAGATTGGTAGTACAATCACTAATACATTCAAGGTTGTCAACATACTTGTCAAATCTCCCCAAGAGGCTCACAAATTTTGGTACAAGTGCAGAGCTGAAACAGAATATAATGGCTATAAATAGGCAACAGTGATCAAGCAATAGAAAAGATGGTGCTCTACAAACTTTAAGATATGTACATTTGAAAAAGGGACTGTTCCAATGTTAATCCCACTATTAATAATATTTTAGCAGCCAAGGATCTCTGTAAATGAATAACCATGGAGTGAATTAAATGCGGATTGTAAAAATAGTCTTGATTCAAAGTAACAAGATCAGTTGGCTATTGAGGGAGACTGCAGTGGGGAAGCTGACTTCAGGACCACAGAGAAACACTTTCCTCTTAAACAAGGCACATGTCTTCCACATGATCATAGCAATGAGATATTTTCTACTGCTTAATTCCTGCTACAACATATGCCTCCTGGTTAGCTCAATTGGTTAGAGCACTGGACTGTTGTGCGGGAGGTTGAGGGTTTGAACTCTGGCCGGACCAACACTCATGGTCTTAAAATAACTGAGGAGAATGTGCTTCCTTTCTATAATATCAAGAAATGGATAGACATTCTTTGACTAGTATTCTCGGATAAGGACAAATAAACCATAGGTCCAGTCTCCAGCATCTATTAATTAGATAATTTGATTAGGCAGGGGACGTTTAAGAACCCACATCACGAGGTTACTGTGATGTGTTCTGGCCTGTTTACTGGGAATTGGGGAGAGAGGGCATATGTAAAAATCCGCCTTTGCTGTTTGTAAACTGTCAATGGCAGTCTGGTAAAGTCCCCTGCACAGTTTTGTAAAGTGCCTTGAAAATAGGATAAGATCACTATAGAAATAAAAGTTATTATAATTATAAGATGACTGTACAGTTTAATTACAACTTACTCTATGAAATCTTTGATTGGAGGGTTTTTGTGTTTTGATAGCATTTTCCTGGACAAAAGAAACAAAATGCTTATAATCAATAAAAAAATATTCACATATTATAATAGTCAGAGTTTCCAGACCTTTAAATTTAAAGATAAGAATATATTACCAAAAAGTAGATGCAATGGAGATGCAACTGGCTGACAATTTTTACATTTGAGATCATGATCTCAAAGAGATTGTCCACAAGCTAATTCACACATAAAAAGGCAACTACAATGAAGAAACTGAAATATTTTTGTCACCTGGAGATTTGAGCAGCATGAAATATGGCTTTATCATCATTTGAGTGGAGATACTGAAACAAAATCACTGAGTTACTGACATATACCTTTTTATTTTTCTCAGTTTACAGATATCATGTAACTGAATCGAAGTTCAGAGTTTAAAACCTAAAAAACTACTTTAACTCAACAGTAAGAATGATTTTAAAATGGAAATGAACTGTGGTCCACTATATAACTGTACATAGTTGGATAGGATGTCTTGAGGTTAACAGTATATGCACCTTTCTTTTGCATGGTTTTATATTAAATATGTTACTGCAGAGGAATAGCATAGAGAAACAAGAGACTATTTGTATACTTAATCACATGATTTCAAGTGCAATTTGGAATAATTTATTCTTAAATAAGCCCAAGTAAATTTTTTCAAAGACTAACAAACTTGCATGAGCCCGTAGGGCAAGTGCAATTTGTGGTCTTTGAAAAAATTTACAAGTGCTTATTTATTCCAAATTGCATGAGAAATCATGTGATTAAGTATTAATAATATACATGAAAAAATACGAGGTAGCTTCTCATAGCTACGCAGAAGAAAAGCATGCGCATAACATGCAAAAATAATTTATTCAAATCCTGCAAGTGACATTAACCTTGACATTGACCAATCAGAATGTCTGGTTTGTTTCTTTCTTTGCACTGAATTAACCCTCTTCTGCACTGAATTGACTCTCTTCTGCACTGAATTAACTGAAAACTGCATTCATCTTAACCAATCAGAACGGAGAAATTTTTTCATGTATATTATTAATATGGGGGTTACAGTTAAGGCCTGACAACTGACAATTATAGAATTTGTGAGGGGATGCTGTGTCATTGGTCAGTGAGATGGTTCACGAGACAAGTCCTGGGGTTCTTAGGACCTACACAGCACTATTTAATGCCTTTTGAGCCATTTGTGGTAACATACATACCTCTGTGATGGTAGAGAGTGGCAGCTGAGTACAAGTCTGTCAATATAAAAACATGTAGCTGTTATTGCTTGATATATTTTTTTTTTACCAGCTAATGCATCATTTAATCTATTTTGAGTCAATTTCAAATGCAGATTAGAAACTATGCAGGAGACCCAAGGAAACATTACTATTCAGAGTTGATGTAAACATGTTTAAAAGAGGCAAAACAGCAGAAAGTGACAAAAACTTCAAAATCTTACAAACTAAGATCTATAGACATAACAAGCATGATAAATCATGGAAAAAAAAAGCCAGCATCAAACAAGTTCTTAATTTCACTCACAAAAGAAGCTACTGGTAACTAGTGTTCCTATCATAACAAATTTTAGCCATTCTATAGCACAACAACATAGACGCAACTCAGATAGAAAAATAGTATCACATTTTCTATCTGTTCAAGTAACATTAAGGTGTACCCCATGAATTGGATATGTTGGGTGAGGTAGAAAATAAGACCCAATGCATTGACAATTCAATCAAATGCAAACTTTTCCATCTAACATATGGGGGAATAAATTCTTATGGTATGATTTTCATTCTACACAGGGTTTGCTGCACTTATTATTTCAAATGCATGTAAAAAGTACCTAAAAACTACCTTAAAGAACAAAACTACAGACCTGCTGCTGACCATTAATTTCTTTCAATGGACTGTTACTTTGATCTTGAGAGATATTGCGTCTCTTGAGAATCTGGTCATCCCTCTTACTCTGAGAAAATTAACACAAACAATCAAATTGCACTCTGCAACTTCATGCTACCTTACTAGCATAATTGTATACAAAATGACTGTAAAAGAAATTGAGGCAGACCCAGGAAACAATTGCTAAAAAGGAGGCACCTGCTATGGAGCCATTGCTTTGACTGTTACAGCTATTTATTCCAATATTTTTGTTTGAATGGTGAACTGGCACTTGGCAATAGCAGCTCAAGTGAGAGATTGACTAGTTTACCACCCAACGCAGTGGTGTGAACCTCAAGATGGATATGGGGCAAGTTTATAAAGAAATCGTGGATGCTGCATAACAAGGGGGTATTACTATATATAATTTGGTTTATCAACCAAGGTGATAAAGTAAATTGGCCACCCTAAAAAGTTTCCAAAGCTGACATTTTGAGCCTTTTGTCAAATTATCTGAATTTTGAGATGTCAGGCAGTGAAGGAATCTGTTTATTGAGATAACAGGACCGATGCGGTAATGGCAATAATGGGAAATGGGAAATTTGGCAACAGACATTCCATTGGGTGACTCTTCTTGTCCAATGTTTCCAGCTTGAATTGGAATTTGGAATGTTGGTTTTTGAGGAAGGAGGGAAACCAGAGGACCTAGAGAAAAACCCTCAGAGCAAGGACACTAACCAACAAGGAACTCAACCCATAGGTGACACAGTCCGGGAATCAAACCCAGGCCACAGCGATGGAAGGAGAGCGCCCTCACCACTGCACCATCCTTGCTCCCCATGGTAAAAGATAAAGTGATACTTGCTATGATACTACGATCTAACTTTTAAGTCCCTCTCCTCTACTACAGTTATCTCACTTAAAGACTCGAATCATAGAAATAGTTTCACAGGTTTGGAAAAAACTGGTTACCTTCCTTAACTCAATCGTCACATCAGTGCGCCTACGTCGTAATTCCTACAAACCAACAGAACGAGAATTTAGGATACTAAGTATTAAATGACTGCCTCGAATGCGGTGAATGATCCTTGGTCACTACGAATTCCGAAAACTAGAGAGTCGGTTAGTTCTAACCTGCTCCTAAATTAGTGACTTCTATACGAAACAAACTATCATACTCAGGTTTGTAAACCAGTATAATTCTTCTTCGGCCGCTTAGTAATATCCATTTAAACATTCATTTACGAAATTTGCGGGCGCTTGATGCCGAAGGCTTCGGAACACGAAAAACAAGTTGTATACGAGTCTGTTAAAGTTGTTCTCGACTACATGACCATCAAATATAGTTGCAAATGCCACAAATAAAACTAAAAATTTTAGAAGTGAATTAGAAGTACAGCAATGTAGGAGCAACTTCAGAATACCCGTCCACCTCATTTACATGTGTCAGGAGGCTTTGAAGAATGAGGCTTAACACCATAGACGCTATTCTTATTTATATTAACAAAAGTTCCAGGATTCATTTCATAAAATCGAGATATCATGTCAATTTTCACAAAATTTTACACTTGTAAGAAACACTCCTGAAGCTAAACTTTTGTCAGTCTATTGATTTAGAAGCATATATGAGGCAAGCTTGCGGACATCTAGGCTGAGTCGGAAATAACGATGTATTTCACAGGCACTAGATGTGTGCGGATCACGGATCTGAAAATATTGCACCAATTCTCCCACTCCATCAGTATAGATAGGTCAGTCGGCTGCATTTCTGGGAAAAACACATGAATAACCACGAAAGCACACACCAGACTCCAGTTTAAATCATCCTAACTCACTCTACTCGATTGCGCTCGATGAGCTTCGTGTCTTGCCACTTCACTGCTGCCAAAACACATTCGATTTGTCGACAACAGTACAAGTCTACTTACACCAGTATCCTTTCCTTTGTTCTTGAAGTTTCTAAGACGGTTTTCCGACATGGTTCTTGAAAAAAATGAAACTTTTCGAAAAATCAACTCGCAGATGGAACCCCTTCAGAACGCGAACGCACAGTTGGACGGGAGCGCTTTGTAGTTTTGAAATGTGTACTTTTACCGCAATTTCCTCTTGTGATTGGCTGGATCGTTCCTACCCAATCGAATCTAATCACACTCAACGGATCTATACTGTAATTGGTTCATTTCCAAACGATGTCCTTCGTTCGAAGGGACTGGCACCTAGGAACAGTCTCTCCTTTCTTGAGGAGGGAGGGGTAGTACAGGACAGATGGAATACTTCCAAATGAAACATGTCTACGACGTATTGTGAGCGTCTTCCATTTTCTCTTTTCAGCAGTTCACTTCATCTTTAATTTTAGAGTAAAGAAAGTAGAAGTATATAACACTCTCTGCGGGACTGCCTCAGCCTTCATGAAAAAATTAATTAGGACCTAGTGAATAGCAGAGAACTAAAAAAAACTTTTATTAATTTATTAATACGCTGGTGCAGCTAATCAATACTTTGCGTTAGCAAAGAGGAGTGAATGATTAGCAAAATACATAAAAAAAGTAAAATAAAAAGAAGCATTAAAACATAACTCTTAAGGCGTGAAGTCGTTTAATCGAGCAAGGGACTGAAAATTACACAAGTTGCCGAGCTCGAAATCGGGATGAATATCGTAAGTGTAGGATGTAGGACTACAAAAAACAATGATACAATCAAATAGTAGCTTTACTTATCCCTATGCTGATCGTATCATTCTAGGGTCTTCCAACAGAGCAGTTGGAAAATATTTACTCATTTCAACGGTTCGAAAGTGCATTCCATATGGTACCCTCGACAGGATTGGGAAAAAATGGCTTTTTTTTTTGAGATATCGTGTAACTTAGTTGAGAAGTATATCCTCATGCAAAATGAAAACATATGGACGTTGTACGTTTTTTGAAAAACTAAGGGGTTAAATACTGAATAGAACAGGAGCTCATTACTTTCTGAAGAAGTGTAATGATTTCACAAAAGAGCATAATGTTGAGCAAAATTTAAAAATAAATCTGGCAATGCTGGTAGCATAATGTGGTATATGCTACTTTTATAAGTACAATATGTAAGGGTCCAGGATCAGAGAGGGCTAATAAAACTTACCTCCCCCATTCACAGAAGAACATCGGCGGTTAGGCGATTCGTACTTTTTCTATTTGTTATTTTCTACAATGACTAGCACATCTATTATGATGAACAAGGAGTGCTTCACTAATTTTCCTGGTTTAAAGGGGAGGGTCCCCATGCCCCACCTACCTCTGAACACACGCCGGTAGACGGCAGTAAGCTGGGAACCAGGAAGGGTTTTGAGATTAATTAATTTAACCGCTGACATACCACTGGAGATCGTCACGTGATCGGAATAAATAACATAAGATGGTAGGGGAAGAACAAGTTGCTTAATTTGCGCAGTTATTAACATTACAGTCCTTCAACTTTGTCGTCATTGAAACAGGGTTATGGAATAGGATTTTACCTTTAGGAACATGTCAGTGGAAAATACGTACTCTCCACCGCCGGGTCTCGGCGAAGAGATGGGACCGATCATCGGAGCATTAAAAGAGGGTAGCGCCATGACAAGGTACTATTCTAAAAGGCAAACACCGGATTTGAGGATTTTCATGTTGAAGATGGAAGAGTTTCAAGTTGTTTGGTGCAGAACTGGCAGAGAAGGAGGCAGATTGGAGGGCTCAGGTGATGATCGCGCTTTAACTGTGTGTCTATTTCAATGTTTTGATTCGCTGAGCATTTCACGGCACTTCAAAATTGTAACTGCTCAGTTTTCAGTGTGATCCTGTGTTCATTCATTCTGTTGTTATTTGCAGTTTTTATTCGAGAAATTAAAGAAGTTCGAAGGGGTTTAGGGTCGAAAGACTTCGACAGAAACCCCGAATTAGCTCGCAGACTCGATCCAAACTGTTGCCTCGCCATCTTCTATGGCAATGAATTCAAGCTGAAAACGTTAAGTTTAGTAGGTGAGGTTATTTTTATATCTAAGCTAATCGTTTGCACGAAGAATCTTGAATTTCAGTTTAGATCCGCGTTCTTGCTATATCCTCTTTCTAAGCAATGCCATGTCATTCATTTTAGCACCTAGCTTTAAGGAACGAGAATACTGGGTTAGAGGACTCGTTTATTTGATGTACGAAAGTCTGATAGCGACACAAGAAGTACTCATCCACAGGTAGGCTGTCTTTCTGTTCGAAAATAACATGACATTTTTTTATAATGATGCTAAGAGTGAATATCTAACAAATGTGCAACGACAAGAATTGATTACCGTTTTCATGCGGTTTGTCGTGCTGATATGTATGCATGATTGAAAATCAAGGAGAGACAGATCCCTTTGTTTAGGAAAATTTATCTTCAGGAGCTTTGTGTCGGTTTGTTTTTCATTTGAACAGGATATCATTGCAGAACAAACAGTGTTTCGTTGCAGCGTTTTTGTTATGTAAACTTGAAACCTTTGCAAGGAATTTTGTGTGAGAGTGATAAAGTGATTATGTATTTTCTTCCTGTTTTCCAGGTGGTTGTTGAGAGAATGGAATGGTATGGCTGCATTGTCATCTGCACCTAAAAGATCGTAAGTCATGCAGCTTTTTCTTGAGCTTACTGATTGGGATGCCGGCCACAATTCTCTCTCATGAGCACTTCATGCATGCATTAGTCTTCGATCAGCGCCCATCTGGAGATTTCATGGCACTACCTGTGAATTTTTTTTTTACTTAAAATACTTGGCTTGCATTGTATTAGGCACCTCAATTGGCAATTATTTTCTAGTTACAAACATACTTGAAGGGTTTCAATGTTATGATGAGCTCTGGACAAGGAACAAAAATCCCTTTCAGAGAACACTACTGATGACACATTGACAGCCAATCATATTCTTACCTATCTTTTTGCAGCAGTATCTTTAATAGGCTTTCAGTTGGCAGCTTAAATTAACATTTGCATACAAATAGTTTAGGTTGTAGAAGAAAATTATAAATATCAAGGAAGCACCATTTTCATGGCAAATCAAATTTCTTTGCTGCTATCTTCCAGATACCCATGTGAAAAATTATATTTGTAATCAGATCTGAATGCCCTTTGGTATTGATGATAATGTGGACTCATTTTAACTAAACATTTTGTGTGCAAACTAAATAAATGAAACTGAAGTAAAAAAGAACTTAGATCTATAGATAATGATATTTCAAAACAACTGCTGTCTTCATAGTACAAAGAACATTGAGGTTTTCTTTGGGTTTACTTTGTAGAGGTCTAATGTTTTGTTCTTCAACTATGGTTTCACACAATGACAATAACAGTTCTGATTGAAGGAAGTTGTTTTTGAATGAAATCAGCACAACCTCTTTCTAGCTGTCATCAGTGAAAACCTTAGGATTTTCTTCTCTGTTTTGTTTTGTTTTTTTTTTTTACATTGATGCTTTTCATTCAGAATACCACAAGCAGTGGTTTGAAGTCAATGGCCAAGGCAAACTACAGTCAGTTAACCATCCTTGTCAAAACATTTTTGTCTACTTCAACATCAGCATATTTTGTCATAAGATATTAGGTTGACTTCCTCTTTTTCTAGTGCAAGAGAAATAATTTAAATAAATATGGTAGTACCAAATGATGTTATAAACAGGGTTATTATTATAGTCTCTCATGCAATGTTCACATGACATAATACTATTTAAACATGTGGCTTTATCTTTATTTTCTTTTTTACCTGTATTTGTTTATAAATCTCACCTTGGCAGCATTATTGAAACAGGAAATCCATCAGAAATATTGTAAGTTAACCATCTCTCTTCTCCTTCTTCTTTGGCCTAATGTTTTGATTGAAAAAGGCCACTTTAAACTTACATTTCAATCAGGTTAATAAGTTTTCTTTGTGGAGTATTCAATATAAATTAAGAGTAGATCTTTCACTTTCAATTTGATACCCAAAAAGTAGGCGAAAGAATCAATGTGTAGTTGCATTGATGTGGATAACTTTAAAGAAATTAAAACTTAAATATAGTCTTAAATGCATACATTTATAGTTGGTTATGTTTTCTGATACACAGTCAAATGTTTACAACAGCATCCTTCTCTTGTGCACTGCTACATTTTTTAGTGTTTTTCATTTTCAACTTTGTTTGTGGCTGTTTGGAACTAACATTTGAAAAAATTGGTTGAGGCACTGATCCTGCTGAATAACTTTTGTTTCATAGTAAAGTTATTATTTTAATAAACATTCTTATACTTAAAAATAAACTTTCAATACTCTATTATTATACATGACCACTTGAAAGAAGCAATCAAGAAATATCTTAAAAAAAAAAAACCTTCAAGACAGTTCATGGGCCGTTTTAAAAGCAGGATATTAGGGATTTTACTGTCTTGACCATTTGCTTGATTCCTTCAAAATATTTTTGCCAATGTTACTTTACAGTTGAAGCCTTGTAAATTAACTGCAATGTTAAAGTAAAAAGCCTTTTGTGGTGTGAAATTCAATTTCTTACCCAAGACAAATTGAGACTTAGGGAAACCTTTTGGTTACAATCATGTTCTGAAGGAAACTAGGTGGTCAAGTAAAGGCTACTATCGTACTCAAATAGTTAAAGTCTGTCTGTATCTTGTACAAGGTTTTTTTTATTCAAAAGTTTTAAGAGAGTATCAGACACAGACTAAATCAAATGAAATTATTTTGTTTACAACTAAGAAGATATAAGGATTAGTGAAATGATCAATTAGCCTTTGATCTTCAGAAATTTGTTCAGAGTACCATGTGCTAAAATCATCAGTTTTCTACTGTTTTCTTGTTTCTCAATAATATTACATCTTATTATCTTGCAATTTTTTTTACAGAGAAAACTTCCTCCAGTGGTACTCTTGGTACTGTAATGTGTCTTATCTGAAATAATCTTTTTTTATTTTTTTGTGTCAATAACAACTTTGCTATGTAATAATTATATTATAGATGATTTTGTTTATGTTATTTGCAGTTGCTATTAATTTCTCTGTTACAATTCCAATTTTGTGATTAATAATTTACCCACATTTTTGCAATAATCAAAAAGGTTGTTGTGTGTTTGTTAAGTTACCATGTAGATGTTATTATTTTACACCATTTGGCTTGGTACATTTAACTATAATTATATCTATCTATATCTTCTTGGTGTGCTATTTCAGCAATTTGATTGTTTGTTGGCACAGGTGCAACATGTCAGATTTAATTCCATCATTGAATTAACAATTAATCTTCAAAGATTTGTGTTTTTCACATTTTCATGACCCATCATTCTATACAGTACATCCTTCCCTGTACACGAGTTTACACACAGTATTTTGTACAGAAAGTTACTGTAGGCAAATTCAAGGTGTTGTTTTAAAGTTGTGAGTGTTTGCCTGAGTAAAGAACCACTGTCTTGTTACCATGGTGGTGCATCGTGTTATGATTTTGTGACCATACACTTAAAGGCTGATAAATTTACATGTATGTTAATTTTCATTTGTAATGTCATTTAAAAACTTGCACAAAATTTTGCACTTGATTACGATTTCCTAGATCTTCACAAATGCCCCAAATGCAGTAAAGAACTTCGGTTTGTATCTTTCAAAAGACAAGCAAACACTTTTGTTCTTCAATGCAGTTATTTTGCATGAATGTACTCTTGCCAAAGATGTTTAAAAGTAAAAATTACCCGTAGAAGGCAAGTATGCCAAGTCAATACATGGTTGTTGTGTTCACAAACTTACCTAAAAAACAATTTACTGCAGGAAAAAAAAAAGCAAACATGTTATTAATCAAAACTGCCTTGGTCTGTCAATATTTGGAAAAACAATACCCTCTACAGATCGCAGTGACAGTTTTTCTCAATACGGACCTTCAGCCCATCAATTAACATAATTTACGTCTGTTTCATGGCAGTTAGAAGCATCATTTTTTAATTAAACCTTATTATGCTTATATATCTTTGTGGTCAACGTTTTTAAAATGTTGCTTTGAATGTAGTTTCCATAAGATAAAAGTTTTCTTTTAGTTAAAAATAATTGACTGTTTTAATTCTTGGGTAGTATTTTGAAATTTGACTTGAATTTTAATTGATTATAATAATTTATATGTGAAAATTGTGTTATTTGTCTCTGAGTGTTAACTGGCTGTCAGCATATAGCTGCACAAAAAGTCTGTGTAGGATGTTGAATGGAAAATGTTTGTCAATATTTTGGTTATCTGGCAGGTGTAACTCAGTTTCCAATTGATCATCTCCATGTTAGTTGCACCAACCACTTAATATGATAGATATATACATGAATTTGAAGTTAAGTTACAGGCTAAGTCAAGTTGTTAGATTTTGATCATCCTTTGTGTTTGGGTTGGGTGTGTTACAAGTAGAGCAAAACAGAAGAAAGATACTTTGAACCCAGCGTAAGACTGAGTGGTAACAGATAAGGGTCATTCTCTGTTGGAAGCTTTTTGTTTTTCAGCTGATTTGGTAACCAAAAATATTCACAATACATTTATTTTGACAAGGTGCTGCTGCAGTGGTTCATATACGCTATAAATTTAAAACTGCTTCTCTTTGTTGTGGTTAATTTTTTGTCTGAAATTGTTAACACCAATGTGATTTTATTTCCCTTAGCAAATATTAAAAAACATTTTAAATATATACTGGTATCTTTTATGATGTCTTACCATCTATTTTGTTTCTATGTGTAGGTCTTTAGAACACCCAGTGTCTATTGGCATGAAAGAGCTCAGAGCATTCTTCCAGCGTGCTAACATCAAACTGAACAATGCAAGACTTAAAGAGCTTATCCAGGTATGCAGGATGTTCATTCATAGGAAATGGGAAGATTTGCAATTGATTTAAACACAAGTTTAATTGACTGAAATGTTATTTTCTTGAAATTGTGTTTTTTTTTTTCAATTCAGATTGCTGGAAGAGGGGAAGGGCACATTGATTTTGAGGGATTTCGCAAAATTTACAATGAGATAATGACTGTTAAAGATGTAAGTTGGATAATATCACACCCTTTTGGTGATCCTTTTCTTTTTTAATTGTTCAGAAGCCCTCAAAGACATTTACAGGGTTTAAGCTCAGTAGTCAGGCTTGGCTGCAAATAATAGCATTTAAGGTTGATTACTGAAATATTGCCATCAGTTTTTGCATCACTAATGTACTCTCAGGTGAATATTTAAAGGACGATTTCATCATTGGTTTCAAAATTCCACTGTTGTGTTGAACAATGAAACAGATTTTAGTTTTAGTAGTTGTCTGTGTAATGATTTTTGAGGAAGGTTTTCAGTGTTTACTTACATTGTATTATGTTGTTGGTTTGTTTTCAGCTGACAAAAAGATTTGGTGATTATATAGAAAATGGGTTAGTATAGTCAGAGGGTTGGACATTTATAGTTTGGCTTATGAGTTCCATGTTACTAACTTAACTCTTTCACCCTTTAGACTGCAATGTCTGTCGCACATTTCTACTTTTTAGCCTAAGAATTTGGTCTAAAAAGCAAAGAAATTTCTGTCACTTTTTGTACCAAGGAATGCAACAAAATGCTTTTTTGAATTGAAACTGTAAAACAAAACTTTTTTGAAAATTAATGTGCTATGTTACTGTGTTTACATTTTTAGTTATAATAATCACTTTCATTGTGTCCCACTTGTTAGCCGACACAGTGGAACTTCTTTTAAGACTTAAAACAATGTTTAATTTAACTGTTAATCCTCAAACATATTATTTAATATTGTATCTCTGTTGCTTTAGTACCTATGTGCCTCTAGCAAATTTTCAGAGATTCCTTTTGGAAGAACAGGAGGTAAGCCTGATATGTGTATTCAGGATTCGTAATTATAGTAACTCATCACTCTCACTTTGATTAAATGCAATTTTGGAAAAATGGAGGCTGCTATGATTATAATTGCAATACCATCCTCAGGAGCCTGGAGCTAAAGATTTAGAGACTGTCAGAAGTTACATGTTGGAGTACTTAGCAGATGGAAGTAGGAGCTATTCTGAACCTTATTTCACTGTGTCTGAGGTAAATGTACTCTGTGGTCAGTTGATCAGAAATATCTATGCAGCAGTAGTGCTCCTTGTTGCATCTTAAGACTGATATGGTTATTCTAATTGATCATCTCATTGAGAGTTAGAATGTAGATTGGTTTTAAACAAATTGAGGGGAAACCCCAATATCATGAGGTCCTAAGTAGCCACTTGCGAAACTGAAAAGTAGTGAGGCCCTTATAAAGCCATTCAGTAGATTATCAATTTCGCCAGTCATGAGACAAGTTAGAGGAATGTACACTCTATGAGCTGGAGAATGTAACTTTGATATCGCACCAAATTCTTACATGGAGCAATTTACAAGGAACCTAACAACTATTAATAATCATTTCTTCAGCAAGTGTTTTATTTTTTCCTGAGGAAAACAAAGTTTTCAAAAATCATGTTCAATTCAAATTTCCATTTGGGTGTGACCTTTTAGCTACTGTTACAGTAGTAAGAAGTTGATGTTCATTTTTTGCAGCAAAAAAATTTTAAAAAATTAATGTAATTTTGTTTTTGATAGTTTTTAGATTACCTGATGTCAAAAGGAAACAGTGCATTTAATTCCTCACATTGTGAAGTTTATCAGGACATGACCAAACCACTCACAAGCTACTGGATTGCTTCATCGCACAACACGTATGTTTTATGTTCCACTTTATACTTATGAATGAACTTTCAATGGCTGTTTTACATTCTGCTGGTTAGCAGCTGCAGCTGATTGATTTACCCTAAGCTCATCGCAGAATTTGAGTTATGATAATTTTTGTGATTATGTTTAGGTTTTTTAAAGCAATTTTACAACTTATATTTTATCGCTAACTAGAATCATCAATTATCAAAATTAGATATTAACTTTGACCCCTGTTTTTGTCATATTGTATCATCTACGACTGACACATTTTTTTGTTCTTTGGGGAGTTTATCATTATTTACAGTAACAAATTGCACATGTGGTGTGCTTGTCCACTTATTTATAAATGATTGTAGAGAACAACTATTGATAGGGGGAAATAGCAGACTTGTAAACATCCTGAGAGAAAGAACCAATAATCACTTTATGGTGATGATGACTTCGGCCCAGACTTTGCCAAGATATGATTCGCCATTCTCAACAGGTTCGTTTCAGAATCACTCTCAACAAAAATGATTATACCATGATCAACTTTTGCTCTTTGGTTTAAACTATCAACTATATTGTGATAAATGTTAATTACTCATTTTGTATTTGTAGGTATCTGACAGGGGATCAGTTTCAAGGTGAAGCATCTGTTGAAGCCTACATTCGTGCTCTGAGGATGGGTTGCCGCTGCCTTGAATGTTAGTTGTCTTACTTTGCTCTTGACTAAAATTAATTATTTTTTTCTCAGTTCGTGAGCGGGCAGTATTCTACAAATCCTGCAATCTGATTGGTTCCGAGAGCTGGCAGTATTCTCCCCATCCAGCACACTCACAGCAGGCAGTATCCATTTCGCTTGAGTAATTTTGCAGAACATCTCAAGCTTCGTTGCAATTTTTCACAAAATTAATACATCTCATTTTGCTGGCTGGGCAGAGTTTTTGAGCAGACTTTGGTCAAGACCTTTTGGCGATAAACAATATTAATTCTTTCTTCTCTCTCGCTCTCAAATCACTTTGGTTTTTCAGCAAACGATGATTTCAAAATAAATTGTGTGGTACTACATTTGTTTTTAAAAAGATTGAAATGCGGCTTAAAAACAATTTGTTATTCAATGATTCTTCCAAAAAAGTAACTCAGAAAGTTAAAAGGAGACTGAGGTAGTTGCAGTTGACAATTACATTAATCAGTGTGACTCATTTGTTAATATCTGTCAGGGAATTCTTCAACACAATTTGTTCGTTTGTGAAACACTGAGGGAAGTTTTGAGTTCTTCTATAAATACACTTTGGCCTATTCTTTGCAAGTCTCTTGAAGTTGGACATTTCTACCATAAATTTCACAATGTTAACCAAAGGTATTCAATGAATAAAAGTAGCATTAAATCCGCTGGCGTCTAGCTTGAAAGAGTCTAGCTGACTTCAGCTTTTCGGTGGAAGAAAAACCGATTTAGACACACCATTGCAGAAAACAAATAAGCAGACTCATCTGACAACTCCAAAACACACATTTGCATTTACTTACAATTTGACTTTTCGGTACATTTTAAAAAGGAATAGAGGTAAATCTCTGAAGATTAATCGTTGTTGGAAATAAACAATACTTTCCGTAAGATCTCCAAGTGTTTTTTTTTTTTCTCGCATGGTCGTTAACTTGTGCGTGTTTGTCATACTAGTACTGTTGTTTATTCAAAAGCGTACGCTTTTTTTCCACTTCAATTGACAGGTGTCACATCATGACAGTTACTTATCAAAAAATGTTTCAAAGTTTACTCGGAAGCCTTTTAAGTTACCGTTACAAATAAAAATGTTTCGGTGAAAGCTTTCTCTTTAATTTGAATAACGTCTGTTTTCTTTATTATCCACTCACTGACAAAATGTTAAGTTTATGGAGGATCTTTTTGTGATAAAACTCGTAATTGTAGCCTAAATCATTCGGGTTCTTTTGGCCATCACTTTTTTATGTATTAGAAAAAAATAAAAATGTTATTGACCAGCATAGGTCAGTCCATACTGGGAAAAACTGTGCCCTCTGTCTTGAGTACCGCCTGAGGCCTACGGCCTTGGGCGGTATCCAAGACCTTGGGCACAGTTTTTCCCAATATGGACCTCCTGGCTGGTCAATAACATATATTTATTAGCCATTAGGACATGTTGACCTGAAGATGATATGATGTGTATGAAGAGGGCCCTTTGTAATGATAATAACTAAAGGTAGTTCGAGAGGGCCACAGCAATGCGCAAAGGTCAACCCCACACTGATCCAAGCAGAGACTAAGCAATTAATCCTTTCAATAAGGCAATCAGGCAATGAGCCCTCTCACTGAGCAAATACAGGGGAAATTTGGACACACAATGTGGGCAAAAATGGGTTCATTTCTCAGGTTTTGGAATTGTTTCCTAATATCCTGCTTGGTTTATTTTCTAGTGGATTGCTGGGATGGGCCGGATGGACAGCCCATTATTACACATGGCCACACCCTTGTCTCCAGAATCAAGTTTGTGGAAGTTGTTCGGGCAATCAAGGACAATGCATTTGTTGCTTCAGAGTAAGGAACAGCCTTTTTTATAAGGTGGAAAGTTTAGCATGAAACAAACCAATATGTTGTTTGCTTTCAATCTTGTCCATACTTGCTTAATGTTACATCTAATGTGCCAACAATTGTGACTTACTAAGATTTCAATTTGCATTTTCAGCTACCCTTTGATTTTGTCATTGGAGAACCATTGCAGCATACCTCAACAGAAGGTCATGGCACAGACATTTAAAGACTTGTTTGGAGGTTTGTAGTCAGACTAGTGATATTTTGAGAGCAATTTGGAGTAACTAAATACATTAAAGTTTTTCAAAGGGCAAGAAACATTGCACAAGCCCCCCTAAGGTGAGGGCAGTTTGAGTGTTCATTACCATTTGAATTGTAGAGTTAACTCTGTGACTGGTAACTGTTCTTGCAAGACTAAGTTACTTGTCTTTGTTATGTGGATTCTAGATTGTCTTCTCACCCAACCAGTTGATCCCCTTGAGAGAGAGATGCCATCCCCCGCTTCTCTCAAGCACAAGATTATCCTCAAGGTAAGAAAGATTTAATTACTATGATCCAGAAACAGCAAACTTCGTTATAAAACATTAACTTTTCACAAAACTCCATTTTAGGGCACAGGCACAATTTTTGATTCAAGAACTCAATTCCTAACGAAGGGGCTTAATTTTGTTTATTTACCAATGCTTATCACAAGCAGAATTTATTTATTAAGTGGGTCAGTTTTCAAAACTCACTTAATGAGAATTTTGTCTTAGACCATCGCTTGTGAACCCAACATATTGGAGCACATAGCAAACTGTTTCTAATTTGACAAAGTTATTGGACTGTCTTTGTATATCTTCACAAGGAGAGGTTATTGTCAGTTGGTAGTATCACTGTTAACGTTAGTAGTAATTCTTTTGTAATCATGTTGTGTGCAGATATTTTTCAGTGATATTAAACAAAATTAATGCTCAGGAACTTTGTTGAGGAGAAAGGGAAATATGTATGTTAACTTTTCAGTCATTCTGTTTGCAGTAAAAATATTGCTATAAAATTCCATCATCTGATAATCAGTCTTACTTTTTATAGCATAAAAAACTACCCAAAGATCCCAACAAGGTCACAGAAACCAATGTTGGTGATACCAGTAAGTTTCTTGCTTATTAATTTGTTTGGTGTCAACTCATGGCTCAATCTACCATGTTGAATTGGTTTCAATTGATTTGCTTAAAATTAACTAAAGCATATTTACATAACTTTTCAAAAGTTGTTACTGACAATAATTCTAGATGAAACTTGATTTGATCCTAAAATAAAGACTGTAAATTGAGTATAAAGTCTTACAGATTTTGCTTTTAGGCATTTCATACAATGTGCCTGCACAGGAACAGTTCATTCAGTAGACCTTGTGTTTAATTTATCCATTGATTTCAGAAATGTTAAATAAGATTTTGTGAACAATTTTTTGCACCCTGCAGCATTGGAGGATGATCTGAGCCAGTCAGTGAAGAATGGTTATTTACTGTTAGAGGATGAAATTGATCATGTAAGTTCTTTGCACAAAAAAGCATAAAGTAGATCTTACAAAATGAGATATTGAACTCCAAACATGTAGAAAGTGATAGCACCTGACTTTGGATGTTGGAAAGTCAAATGATATTGGTGAGAACTAAATATCAATGAAGTATTGAATGTGACAATTTTTGTGTTATTGTTAGGCCAACTTATTGGTCATATGTTGTGAAAACATCGATAGAAAAGACCCTATAGATAGCCCACCCCATATAACAAATCATATGTTCTTGTTTGATTGATGTATCAGTTGTTTATGTGTTTGACTTACAGGGTTGGAAAAAGCATTTTTTCTGCCTTACAAAGAACAAGCTGTTCTGGACAGAAGAGCAAACCAAGTCAGAGGATGATGATGATGACGAGGGAGCTGATGGAAATGGAGTTGGAGAAGTAAGTAAATCCAAATTTATGGTGTCATATCTTTATATCAGATTATGTTAAATTAGGCCTATTTTCTGTTGTAGGTACAAAATTTAGTAGAACTAGGTGGATGCCATATTGTTAAAAATACACTAATTTTAGAAGTCTAGTTCAGGCAGTCCTAGCTCAACAGTGTGAATCTTTTTCATGAGATTTTTCTTCAACTAAGAGAACATGATTGGGGCTAAACACTTTGGTTTCAAAATTAAATTTCCTCACAGTAAGATTCTCAAGGCAAAATTTGAAAGATGTATGTACTGGTAATGATTTTTTTCCTAAAGTTAATGTAGGGAAACAAAGAAAAATTTCATATTGGGTTCATAATGTTGCAACATGCAAACCAATATTTTTAAAAATGTGCCTCTTAGCAAACCAGGGGAACTAAAATTTTTGAATACTAGTAAACAGGGGGTCCCCTTTGCTTTGTTGGGAGCAACAGGATCTTTTATAAATGCAATCATTCTTCACGGTATCACTTTTTAGTGCTCAGTTAGGGTTTTCACTCCCCAGACTCTTGATAGATCAAATATTTAATAACCTCTCCATTTTATATCTTACATTAAAAACAGATTTTACACAGTTTAACCAAAATGTGTGAACTGATGTCAGATAGCATGCAGCTACATGTTTTTATGCCAAAACTTGATTTGTTTACAGGCTATCATCTGGTATCACCTAGTAAGTGTTTAGGGATTGCAGAGAACATTTGTTCACTTAAATGTATTCTGTAAGTCTTGAAGAATGCATGATACACATGATTACATACTGATCTTTCCCCTCATCCCACAATTGATTACCCTTCTTATCAACATAAAAATGTTTGTTGCCCAAGGAAAAGAAACTTACCTGGCCTCTTTCATGTCTTGTTAGAAATTATTTATGTCTAGAAAAGGCAATCCTTTTGTCAGCAAAGCTCAAAAGGGGTTATGGTTTATTTCATTTGTAAAGATAATTCTTGAAAGTGGTCTTTATAGCTCACAGATTTCTTATTATTTAATTATATATCTGTGACAAAATTAATTTTAACATATTGCGAAGAAGACAAGTACAAGGACAAAGTAATTTCATTGTTAACAAAATGATCAACAAGGTGATATTACTTAGTTGATAACAAAACTAGATTCTCAACAAAAGCAAACAACCTGAGATCAATCAGTCCAGAGAAGAAGTAAACATTAAATCCTAGGGTTAGAATTTGTTCAGAGAATGCCATGGTAACATACTCACATGTGAACTCACATCAGTGTCACATGTATGCACCATGTTTGTCTTTTTGTTGTTTTGTGCCAAACTTGAGTGCTGTGTGTCTGAACTCAGTGCAGATTCACTGATCAGAAAGGATTTGTCTATCATCTATAGATTATAATTTTCAGTAAAAACCGAAGAAGGTTATTATGAATTATTTTCATTCAAAATGCTTGTGGAGGTAATTAATAGCTTTGACTTAATTAAGATTAGGTAACCATTATTCCCTGCAGTCAGCATAGAGTCCACCTCTATGATCTAATTTAAATTATTGTTGCAAGGCCACCATTCTTCCTGGAGCTGATGCTTATCTTTATGCTTAAAAATATTGACAAGAAGTATTTAAACATCAGTTTTCAATCATGGAGGGTTTCTAGTTTTCTTGTTCCCATTTCCCCTCCCTTTGAGTCTCAACAGCATAGTCATCTGAGTGGCTTTGACACTGGGATATCTGACTGGTGGTAGTGGTGTTGCAATACACATACAAGGCCTCTGATATTTGCTTACGTTTCTTTTTATTCATTTAGGTCCATATCTTTTCAGGAATAATTAATTTTTGCCTGATACTTAATGTTGTAATTATTTTTAATTAATAAAAGTGAAATCAGTGAATGGATGATAGTACGAACATTTCACTTTTAACCCTGTATTGTATAATTTGTATCAGAAAGTTGTTATAGAGTTTGAAGAAAATTAATTCAAACTATGAGACAGAACTTGTGTGAAGTGAAAAAAGAAGACAAAACTTTGGTTGAATCATGTGAAATCTTGTTCTAAAAAAGTGTTCTTTGCTTGTTGCAGTCATCAAAAGATGAACTTCACTTTGGTGAAAGGTTAGTACACATGTCAAAACAATGGTTTCCTCAAAAATCTATCAATTGAAAGCTGAATTCATAGACAGCAAATTAAATTGCCTTAAAATCCTAAGTGTACATATACTAAAAAGCAAGTAGTTTTGTTCCTATGTAACTAAGATTATTAGTAAATGTCTAAATGAAAATCCAGTTAATTTGTGGTTACAATTTTTTTGAAAAAATTTCTCAACTTGAAATCTGGGAATTTGCCCATGTGGCACTATTTCGCAGGAGGGGAAGATGTTTTAGTTTTCTGTGGGTTTACAGGCAAATATACATCAATAGATGTTTGATCATTCACCATGAACATTGTGTCTAAGTTATGTTACAATAAGTGATATGCAATTGAAAAAATTTTAGATCATTTAATATGATACTCAGTATTAATTACAGTATCAGTTAAGGTTCAGCTCTATTCTATTGATCAGGTATGAACAATTTGAAGAATGTTTCTCAACAATTGGATCTGTTTGCAATTTTCAGGTGGTTTCATGGAAAGCTTCCAGATGGACGCAAAGCAGCTGAAAACCTTTTGAAACAGTTTAATCGTGGGGATGGATCTTTTCTTGTGCGAGAGAGTACGACCTTTGTTGGAGACTTTTCACTGTCTTTCTGGTGTGTACAGGTTTTACATTGAGTTGTGTTTTGTAGTGTGTGTTGTGTGGTTCACAAACAAGACATTATCACACCAGAAAATCACTAACAGTGTACAGTAGTCATTGGCGATAATACCATGGAAATGCTCATATGGGGTTTTCCTGACACTTCAGGCGTAAAGGGAGAGTCCAGCACTGTCGGATCAAATCCAAGCAAGAGAATGGACAAACAAAGTACTACCTTGTTGACCAAGTGACATTTGACAGTTTATACAGCCTCATCAACTTTTACCAGACTCATCCACTAAAAAGTATGAACTTTGAACTCACGCTGACAGATGCCATTCCACAGGTGAATAATAAGACTTGTTCAATGTTAGACAAAGTGCACTGGACATAAATTCTTTTGCATCTGACAAATGTTGAACTAAAGAAACCATTCATTTATTTTTCTTCAACCTTAAGTTTTCTTGAACCTGTCATTAGTTGAAATGCTTGTAGTGTAGTATTTGTCGTTTTGGAAAATACATTGATCTCTTCATTGTATGATCCTCCTGCATAGAAGAAAATAATAGTTATTTGATAAGAATAAAGATGATTGGCAGAGTTTTATTGACAGAGACTTTTCATCATCAGCATTTCTGTCACAGTTTTATTTTAATATACTTAGTTTGCTCTTTTTTCACAAGTTTTAAGTCTAGTGTTGTCATCATCATCATCATCATCATCATCATTATCACCATCAATAATCAATATCCTCATCATTGTGGTGTCTGGTGTCTTTTGGCACCATTATCTTGATTTTAAGTGTAAAAACACTGAAAGGTTCATTAAGATCTGAATAAATTTATTTTACTGATGTTGTTGTATTCTTCCTTCCTGTATGTCCAAATCCTTACCACAACAGCCAAATGCGCATCTCGAAAAAGAGTGAGTACACAAAGGATTTTCTCTGAATCATTCCTACAAAACAAATGTTGTGTAAGATGTGCACCCAGTGAATGGGCAATTATTTGTAGCAGCTACATTTGTTGGTTACAGGAATAATGCAACATAATTTTACTTCTTATTGTAGTTGGTACCATGACAATCTAAAAAGAGACAAGGCAGAAGACATGCTGAAGAGGGTCAGAAGAAATGGAGCCTTTCTTGTGAGAAAGAAAGAGTCTGACAACCCAGCAGCCGAGCAAGAGCAAGCAGAAAACAATCCAGAGTCACAGAATGATGAATCTTCATTTGCCATATCATTTAGGTGAGCTTTGGGATTTTTTTTTTGTGTTTTCTCTTCCAACCATGAATTAGACTGTTGAGTTGGAAGCTTTTCACTGCATGATGAGTGCATTGAACATTTGGCTTCACATTTATAGTTTAGGCAAGAAATTTAAAATTCCTTCTATTTCAGTTGCAGTCTTTGTAATATGTTTATGTTATTGAAACAAATGTCTACCACATTAACCATTTGATATATTTTATATGTTTAATTGACCAAGAGCCCACAAAGAGATACTCTTAGACTAGTTATAACTTTATTTCATGAAACTTTTGTTAATGTTTATTTACAGAGCTGAAGGCAAGATTAAGCACTGCAGGATAAAGCGGGAAGGCCGATTGTATACGATAGGCACTGCTCAGTTTGAAAGTTTGGTAGAATTGGTTGAATTCTACATGAAGCACCCTTTGTATAAAGGAATGAAGCTCAAGTACCAAATCAATGAAGAAGTAAGAAAGTTACTTACATTGTTTACATCAATTATCTGTTAACTCTTTAACCACTAAGAGCGATTAGCATCAAATTTGTCCAATTGAAATCACCCCTGAATCACACCTCAAGGTCATGACAATTAAGGAAAGGATCTTATTCATGTTTGTATGGCAAACATGCATTAAATTCTGACATTTGCCCCTTTTTTCTTTATCCTATCTTTTCCTTACTTTTGGTTTATAAATTTATAGTAATTTTTTAGCTTTATACCTTTACAGTTAGAGTGGAACACTTATAATCTAAATGAGTATGTAATGTATGGTTTATTGCTGACTCACAATTTTTGTGTTTTCTGTAGGTGTTGTCTAAAGTGGGTCAGGTATGTACAGTTTGAGTATTTGCTTCTTCCAGTTGCTACATGTATACCCAATGAGAAAGCCACATTAATGTTATAGTAATGTTGTAATGTTTTTTTGTTTTTGTTTTTGTTTTTTGCCTTGGTATTTGGATTTTTCTACTTTGCCATTTTAAAAATCTAAACCTGAAACAAATCAAAGAAAAGACTTACAAGCTACCATCACAAACACTGGTTGCCTTCCTCATCCCTCCCAGTAATAGTCTTTGAGAACTCCTGAACCGAAAGTGCCAGTTAATGGCATCAGAAGGGGGAGAGGAGCAACAGAACACAAGCGGTGTTCTTAACTTAGTAAGTTCCCCAATCAGTCATGTTTTGAAGGGTAGTATTTTGTCACCAAAGACTTCATCTTTCAAGTTTTCAACTCATTTGGTTTCTAAATCAACTACCAGACTCACTAATTAATCATTAGACAAGTGCAAATACATTGAAAATCATTGAAAACCTGGTAAAGCCTTGTAGACAAATCAGGCCTATCTAGTGAAAGTAGCTGATATACTTAGAGCCCTGACCATGGTATGATTTGTAACTGCAAATACTTTTTGCTGATCATGAACAAAACTTCAGTCTCCAGATGAAGATGCAATTTATGGAACTGGAGATCATTATCATGAACCCAACCAGTTTATCACAAAGGTAAGGTCATTTTTTTCCATCAGCTTGTGTCTCCTATAAACATTGAAACTATTTAGTTAAAATGCTGTGTGAACATCAGTTATTCATGGTGCTTAATTATTATCCTGTAACATCTTGTGCAGTACTGTCTGATACCTAGCCCAGAGGCCTCAGCATGAGTTCACCAAGGTTAAAATCAAACAAAGAATCTTAGATTTAAAACATGTGAAACAATCTTAAGAGATCTTCTGTTTTCTCTGCAGCCATGTTCATATGAGATGTGTAATTGAAGAAATTTAGGAACAAGACAGTGTGAATTATCTTTTGAACAGTTTCACAGTTTTACAGCTTCTGTTTCACATTTGCTTGCTAATTCAAGTAAAGGAATTAGATACTTCTTTCCAGCACTGTCACACGGACACTTGTGTTTGCATTTTCTCAGCAACACTCCAACATTAACAGTCTTCTTGTTCCCTCTTGACTATTTCCAGGCTGCATGCAGGGCATTGTGGGATTATGAAGCTCAGAATCCAGACGAGATGTCATTTTGCAGAGGTGCATTTATCACTAATGTCAGCAAGGAAGATGGAGGATGGTATGTTTTCTTTCAATTTTCTTTTTAGTAGTATTCAGTAAATGAGGATGTTTTTTAAAAGACAAAGGGAACTAATTTATTGAAAAACAGTGCTGTTCCTAAATGACTGCATTGTGCTTAGTATGGTGTTTGGGAGTCATCGTAGTGAAAACAGTACAGTGTTGGAAGAGTCGAACATTTGAGATTAAAACTATCAGTATCTGAGCAACTGCACACCCACCCCTCCCCTAAGCTAACATTAACCCTAACTTGCTTTTAGTTGACTGTTACAAGTCAGGGGAGGGGAGAGGAGGTGCACAGTTGCTCAGAGACTGACATCGATGCCATATTTGTTGGTATGACCAATGGCTGGATTGTGATCTTTTAAAATTTGTTGTAGAACAGGGAACATCACTTTGATGCTCTGGGGTTCTTAAGTCTATTGGGTATTGGTATGATTTAAAAGAAAGTAGGGGAAACAAAAATAGATTTGTGATTGAATAGAATGCATACAAAAATATTCATTTGTTGGTTTTCTTGCTTTTCAATTTTAAAGGTGGATTGGTGATTATGGAGGACAGAAACAGAAGTTTTTCCCAGCTAATTACTGTGAAGAGATAAACTATGTTGCAGAGGATGAACAAAACATCAATCCTCAGAATGATAATACTGAGGTGCAGAGGAGGCTTCAATTCTATTTACTCATTATTTACTCATATCTGCTTTCTTACATTCACAACAGTCTTACATTCACTGAAAATGTAGGTCCTTAGATAGTGTGCAATTTGATTATCCATAGGGACATCAAACAATAGAGTGGAATTAGTTTTAGGGACAGGATTAAGAGTCAAATAAAAATTTTTGTCTATTATTTGTTTGTTTTTTTTAGATTTAGGTGTAAAAAAAAAACAACAAAATTTGACTTCTTGCACTTTCAGGAAATGAATACATTGTGTCTTGTTATTTCTCTTGTAGAATCATGAAATGTCACCTTTGGGGGATCTTCAGAAAGGAAGTATAGACCTCCAGGGATGTATAGTTGGTATGTTTCAATATTAAATGTTGATAAGAAAACTTGTTTCTTCTCTGGTAATGGTGGAGAGTGGCTTCATGTCTGGTTGAAAGTCAATGGTCTGACTAATGTTTTATCTGATTTTCACATTTATAGGTCTTTATAACATGGCTTGCTGTTTTTTTGTTTGTTTTTTGCAAGAAAAATAGTCTTAGGATTGTTCACTTGGTAGATTCTTCACATGGTAGATTCTGTATAACCAACTGTTGCTTTACCTATAGTCGCTGTTTTTATTTGTTAGTTACAAGTTCTACATGTATTTATCTGAAGCAAGAATTGGGGTTGTTTTGAAAAAATTATGCTTTTTTAGTTGCTGATCTGTATCCAAATTACACAATTTGGTGCCTCTATGATGATGGTCATCATCTTTTTTAAATTGATCAGAAAAGATTGGTTTTCATATGCAAGCTGCTTTTAACTGTAATTTGTAAGTCCTTATCTGTCCTATATAATAATAAACTACTTGTGAGTTACATTCTTTCTTTCTTTTTTTTTCCTAGAAAATATAGCAAGTAAACCAGGACAGAGGCATGTATTTCAGATTGCCAAACGTGATGGTCAGATTTTACTTGAACCTGCAGCAGAATCACAGGAGGTTTGCAACCTAATTCTTTTCAAGTTTTGTTACCTTGTTTTAAGATGCATTTTTAGCAAACATCTTTTTGTTACTCAGGATTTAGCTGATTGGTTACAAGCACTTCAACAAATGGCAGATAAAAGAGAAGCAATGGTTCAAAAAATGGTGCGTCAGTCAAATCTGAGTCAAGAGCTGTCTGACTTGGTGGTGTACTGTCAGTCAGTACAATTTGACATTGGAAGTAAGTTGTTTTCATAAATGTGGTTTTGTTGCTCTTCACTACTTGCCAAGCTTGTTTAGCGAGGACACCTTAACTTTGCCTTGATTGATTACCTGACATTGACAACCAACAGTTACTGTACTTTTTCAGAAGATGACCAGTCTGTTACATCCTCTATTGCTCTTCTTATACATATAATTTTTGTTTTTTTGTTTTGTTTTTGTTTTTGTTTTCTTGAACAGATGTATCTGGCAAACATTATGAGATGTCCTCATTCCCTGAAACAAGACTGGAGAGATTTTTTGGGAAGAGGTTAAGCAGAGAATTTATCAAGTATCCTTGCCTGTTTGTCAAATATTACCTTAATCCATTTATTTAAATAGTTGAATTATTATCATCAGTAATTTCTAACATCAGAAATATCCTAAGATGTCATCAAACAATTTGGTTATCTGAGGCATGTTCAAGAAAAAAGATAAAATTGCAGTTCAAAATTGGAACTTGATCTTCTAATTTTCTAGACAAAGAGTTATGTTCTAAGAGGATCGTAATAAATGCCCTCCCTTAAACATTTCACATGCTAGGAGCAAATAAAGGTAGTACCTTAACAGCTGTGAAGATATCACAGAAAACAGTTTAGTAGAGTTTATCCCAGAGGGAGCAGAATTGATTCCTCTAATTATGACCCAGTGATGATGTGGAACCACGGGGTACAGCTGTGTGCTCTCAATTATCAAACACCAGGTAATAAATGATATGTGGAGAAAAAACAGTTTGTGTCAAACTCCATGTTTAATTAAATTCATTTAGGTAATTAAGCTGGATGCTAATTGCTTACCAAAACAAGTAACTGTTTGCAGGAAAGAGACAATCTTATGAAGTATTTGCAAGCAAAGGGAAAGTTTGATAGAGCCTCTTCTTTGGAGGGGAGTGTGGCCATGTACAAAGGCTCCTCATCAGTTTTGGTGCCCATGTTGGCTCAAAGCATCCACTGAAATAAGTTGGTTTTACATCAAATCAGGCAGGAAAGATGTCAGGCTTGGGCTAATGTCTACGTAGTGCGGTTTTTGGTTAATGTGGGTCAGCTGAATATAGGTTGCTATGCATTGGTTTGATGTATTGGTAGGATTTTTGAGGGAGACTTGGCTCAGGGATACTTGAAATGTTTGTTTTAAGTGTTGCAGCTGGACAGCAGTAATTATCGTTTTCCTTTACTTTCAGATCGAGCCATGCAGTTGAACCATGGGAAATTTTTGGACAATGGAAGGTAACATCTTAATTTTTGGAAGTTTTTGTTTGGAAAATGCGGTGGAATAATGGTTACTTAGTTGTATTCAAAGGTTTCAGTTTCAGATCTAGCAAGCTTGTTCTTTTGTTCTTGTAGGGTAGGACGGAAACTTAACTTGTAATGCCAGTGTGCTCTCATGAAAAGCTGACAAAATGTGGGAAATGGGGGGTAACAAAGTTCCCCATAATCACCGGTGGGTGGCTTTTTCACCAGCACCTTGTTTGAGATGTCGACTACAACAAAAAACCTATCTTGATCTGAAATGAATTTAAAGATTGATTTAAACTGGAAAGAAAACAAAACGTAAAAGCTTCTGCCTCTTGTGTACTCATCTGTTTGCTGGCTACTGTCTTTTTATGGCTTGTGTCTTTAAATTATCTGGAAAACACTTCAGGGAAAACTTGCAAAGGTTTGGCATCCAGACTGACTGTCATCCTAGTTGAAAGTTTCTAAGTTTGTGCTTCAGGAACGAGGTGAAGCTTCAGAGCCAAGTAAGGCAGTATGAAATGCAGAAAATTGAGTGCATCACATAGCGGTAAAACATTATGTTAAAATATAGCGGTGGTTATTTTTAGGTGTGGTTATGTGCTTCATCCAGAGTGCATCAGAAGTGACACATTTGATCTGTACAACCGAGATGCTTCTGGAGCAGAGCCACTGACTCTTACTCTGACGGTAAAAAATGCACTGATCATTTAGCATGTTTGTGAAGTTACATGGTGCCTTGCAGGAAGTCTTACACAAATTATTTTATCAAAAATCTCCTAAAGCTGTATTGTTAAATCTTTTAGATCATTGGAGCAAGACATCTTGTCAAATCAGGTCGTGGAATAGCATCTCCTTTTGTGGAAGTTGAGATAGTTGGAGCACCCTATGACAACACCAAATTCAAGACAGAGACAAAACGTAAGCAGGTTACTCTTGGTTTGTAGGCCTGGTTCTGAATCACAATAGTCCATTTTACAGCTGCGGCTTGCTTCCCAACCTTTTGAACTGGACTGAGGCTAAGGGTGACCTTGTTGTGATAAGAACGTTGCTGCTTTCAAATGTAAATTATTTTATTATCATGCTAAGTAGATACTGGTCCCTACCATGACAAGGTCACCTTCAGCCTCACTCCAAATCAAAGGCTTGGTAGCTAAGTAAACAACTGTGAAATGGTCAATTCTCAGTTTCTCTTACATCTTTAACCTTGTTGTCTTATGCAAATCATGTGTAGTTACACCCCTGCTCACATGTTTGGGTGTGTTTTTTCATTGTAGCGGATAATGGTTTGAACCCTGTTTGGTGGGTCAAGTTTGATGTGGATGTTATCAACCCCCCTTTGGCTTATCTTCGGTTTGTTGTCTTTGATGAAGACATGTTTGGTGAACCTAACTTCATTGGCCATGCAATATTTCCCATGTGCAGTCTGAAGACAGGTTTGTAACACTGTACAGCTATAGTTCCTCACTGAATGGAAGCAGTGATTGCTCTTTGGTCACTTAAAGGGCCCAAGGCCAGTTAAAGAGTAGTTTCACATTAGTAAGTTGGACCCACTTGAAAGGGTTTTCTTCATTTATAAAACTTGAATAGTTCAGGTTTGCTAAACTTACTATTTCATGAAAAAAGTGTTTTCATGCCAAATTCTTTTAATTTGTGTTTATAATATTTTTAACCTTAATTGATTTAATTCTGTTTATGTTTGAATCCAGGATACAGATCTGTCCCATTGAAGAATGCATACAGTGAGGAATGTGAACTTAGCTGTTTACTGGTCCACATTGACATCAGAAGTGCAATGGTACATACATGATACAGCTTGTAGTGTTACTTAACTAACCTATCAAGGACCCTTTGTTACTGACTTGTTGCAGTGGTCTGCAAAAGTGGAACACCAGCTGGAAAGGAAGAATGTTTGTAACGAGAAGGGGGAAATAGCTATACATTGTACTGAGGTTCTTCTTAACCTTCACACCTTAAATTCACCTGCAGCTTGTTTTTTAAGTTGATTTGGGATGAATCAGCCACACTAGGGCATCACTGCATTTTGAACTCAAATAACGATAAATTATGCTTGTTTCTATGACACAGGGTGGTGATGAGAACTTGTATGCATCAATTCAAGTTCTTCGAGATCGTGTAGAAGAAATATCCAATACCATGGAAAATGAAGAACTGAGAGCTCGTGCAACCATTGCAAGTTTGCTGACGCAGCAGAATGGGCCCATGTCACTGGAGGCACAGCAGAGAATCCAAAATGATCATCAGCATCAAATGGAGAACCTTGGCAAACAGCTCAGGCAGCAACAAGATGACTTACGTAGACTGCAGAAAGAAAGAGCCGCTAGGTTTGTTGACTGATGTCATCTTCTAATAATAATTAATCTACCATTTGGTTATAAGCTTTTGATATCACTATTTGTGATGTGTGATGTGATATGGAGAATATGTTCCATTATTGACACACATTTAAAACCCAGTCATATTTTGGCTGAACCCTTAACGCCACAAACAATAAAAGGATACAAAACGTTAATAGACAAACATTTTTTTAAGCATAATTCACTTAGAAAATGCCCATGGGGTCTACTTGGGGAGCTTTTGCATGGTTATTTACATGTACTCTCCACATTTGGATTCCTTTTCAGACAGAAGTTGCTTCTTAAAGATAGCTAAATTTCAGAAAACAAAGCATTTTACAGGTCTCATTGGGTCTTTTGAGAAATGATCATTTTCACTGAGGGTGAAATTATTAACCCCTTGATTAAACCAATTTTGTACAGTCTTGTCCATTTGTTATTCCTGGTTTCACTCATTAATTCCCTGGTTTTCCAGGTGTCAATTTTTTTCTATTATGCATTCAAGGTAAAAGATTGTTAATGATAATTTTTTTTAGAACTCCAGGCCGTGTTATGCTATCAAAGCCGAACCGTTACACAAGGAATTCTTCATCTTAAGCCCATCATTATGATAGCTGGAGTGCAGTCTATTTTAGTACAATTATTATTCTTAACAAAAATTGTAGATCCAGGAAAGGTTAATAGTAGACTTTGACTATGTTATGCTTGTTACTGATAGACCTAAATGTGAATGTATTTAACTTTTAGTAAGTTACATTTCTTTTGCCTTGATTGTTTAGAGGTAGAAATGTGCCTGAATATCTCCTTAAAATTACTTAGCCTTATCTGCACTCTGAATGAATTGAATTTGAAATATTACATGAAATTGTGAGCTATCATTATGCAGATAGAAATTTGTCAGAAGGAACAGTCATGGTGATTGTTGATGAAAATAATGAGTTGTTCATTTTCTGTGCCATAAAATGTAAATATGAACACAAAAATAACATCTGAAAGGAATTTAGAGCCAATGTTAGTCATTAATATAATTAGAGAATAACAGAGTGCTATTTCATGAGTAGCCAGGGTTATTTCATTTTGGTTATCAGGTATTCCTGTGAACTGATCATCAGTTTTGATTTTGATATATCAGATAAGGGAAATTGTGAAATATCCTCTGTGCTGTATTTGCCATTTGCTTTAGAGAATACATGACTTATCAATAAGAGAAAAGGCAATAATGTTGCAAAGAACACAATTAATAGTCCTTTTTAAAGTTGTGGGCTTGGTTGCCAAGCCTTTGAACAGGAGTGAGGCTAAGGGTGACCTTGTTATAATACAAATGTTGCTGCTTTTCAAATGTAGATTACTCTGTTATCAGGCTACAACTAGATACTGGTCAATGTCATGTTCAGCCTCACTCCAATCAAAGGCTTGGCAACTAAGTACACAACTGTAAAATGGCCTATTGTTTTAATTGATGCATGCAGTATTATTCAACATTATGTCAACTGTGCCAACATTTTTGTGTGAAAACGCATAATATATACAGTGTCAGACAAATAACATGGATAAGCTTCACATTTCATATACCACAAAAATTGACTTTTCAGTCTAGTTTGTAGCTATCAACTTTAATTTTGGACTTGAAGTCTGCTTTACAATTTGAGATAGACTTGTGAGTAATCTCTTACTGAGGGAGCACAAATTAATGGACAGGACATGTTTTATGTGAATATACAATGGGTTCAATCATTGATGGCATTTGTCCTTGACACTTGTTAATTGCATGAGTCAGTGCATGAAATTCTGTCATTATGAAGCTAGTCAGTAAACTTGATTCAATCACAATGGATGCTTGTGAGTAGACAGCCTTTCTTATGAGTTTTATTCAAACTCTTTACATTCCTTTGAGATGCAAGCCGTCTGGTAATTCAAGCTTTTACTCTGTTCTAGTTTGTTAGATGAAGTTTGTAGGCTATTACTAAATATTTGGGTTGATCTTGTGCATTAATTTGGTGTTTTGACATATTGCCCTCTGATAATCAAACATTTTGTTTTCAAATGTTCACCTGGGTGAGAATGATGAGGTGATCTCATATGGGTTGGGTGTGGAATTTTGGAACAATATCTAACTCAGGGTGGAGGAGAAAGTAAATTTTGGAACACATCTGAGGTTCAGTAAGGGTAGATAATTACATTTGCATCAGTCTTATCAAAGTCAACAATAGAAGAATTTAATGAATCAGTATGTTTGTATATGTAAGACCAAAATCACTTACTGCTGGATGTAATACAGCAATTATATGAGGAATGATAAGACAGATGTTTCCTGGTAAATTTGTTATTAAGAAGCAATCATTGTCAAGTTAATGGCCAAGATGCAAAAATTAAAGCCAAGTCACATTATATTTTGTAGTTGTTGTTTGATTGTTGTCTGTAGATGATATTTGCCTTTTTGAAGCTTGATTTAAAAATAACTCCAGACTAAATAATACAAAGAATTCCCTTTGCTGTGGTTGCAGTTTAGTTCCAAACGCTCCATGATTACGCTCTCTCTTTCTCTGCTGGCTGGGCAATGGAGGTGGTGACAGGTGTGCTCCTAGCAATTGGGTCACCATCATTTCAGAGAGAACTTATTAATAAGACTGGTTAAAGCTCTTTACAACGAAGTACATGTATCATAACACTTAAAAGGTAACAATCCTAACCCGATCACTAAAAAAGAAATGAGACAAGAAGTCAATAAAAGAGAAGCATACTCAAGAAACCAAAAGTCCAAAATCCAAACCCAAAACCAGTCAGATTAATGATTGAGTGAGAAGTTGTTTTTAGCACGATAAATAAAATCAGCATTGCTGGTGGGGTCGTGCAAACAATAGTTACAAAATAATAAAATACTTAAACATATGTACAATTTTAAAATTAAGACTTAAAAGCTAAGACCTATCAGAAATATTTGTAGTCGGTATCTCTGTTTTTAGTTATGGCTAAAATCGGTTCGAAATTTATTTTATCTGTGATCCGTTGTCATGCCCTTTTGGAAAAAAATAAATGAACAGATGACATTGACACTTTGTGATCTCAATGAATAACCAGATCTTTTGTGAATCATCTTTAAATATGCCAAAATTTCACCTCAGATACCAGCAAGTTACTAGAAAATATTGTTCAATACCATGGCAAGTGGCCTGTGAAGTTGAAAAAAAAATCGTGTGTATCTTTTATCCATCTCTTGGCAATCTGTTGGACAATTGTGAGCTACCTTTAAGTGTGCATGGCTCAAAGGATTTTTTTGTTTTGTTTAGTTTTTTTTTTTGCAATTAGCAATGGCTGTTTGTGAACCTCTTACTGTAGTTTTGGCTGCAGACAGGAAAATACTGAATTGTGTTTAGAATCCCCATAAAAATTTTAATCAAATTCTAGCATAATGGAAGAAAAAACCTCACTTGTTAAAGTTACTCTTGGAATCCCAAACTGCAAGTGGTCTGTAATTTCTGCTTGTGAGAAGTGAAACAATATCTACACTATAACTAATGTAAAAACTCAAATCAACATCCGTTCACTGCTTTATGCTTTGGATAGTAATTATCAAACTGATTTGTTTCAGGCATGCATCTTTTTGGCTGAATAGGTTAGTGATGCAATTTTTCCTGACTAAATACAGAGAATAAGATAGCAAAACCAATGAAATTCCAGTTAACTTTCAAAACTTGAGTGGAATTTGCTGTGTTAAAAAATTACAGAACTTAAAGGGAGCACTTGTTAGACTAATTGACTGTTGAAAAAGGATGAGTTATACACATAGCAAAGGTAGTCTTTTTACAAGTCAAGTGGCCCATCAGGCTAGCACCTAACTCTGGTTTCTGTAGCATGAAGCAACTAGGAGTATTTCTCTCCCCCCCTGGATGGGATGCTTGTCCATCACAGGGTTACCCCCTGCATGAAATCTGCCAGTACCCATTAAAACACCTGGCTCAAGAGAGGCACTGTGACAGTAAAGTGTCTTTCCCAAGAACACAACACAACGTCACTGGTCAGGGCTTGGACACCCAGCCATCCAGAGTCGAGCACACTAACAATGATGCCACTGCCCCTTGGGCAGCAGATATACTCAAAAAAATATACTTTTTTATAGAAAATAATTTGAAAAATGCTGCATATGGTCCTTTAAAAACTAAATAAAATGTTCTGCTGATCTGAAAAAGGCCTAATCTTTGACTACTACAGCTGTGTGATGTGACACTGCAGTTGAAAGATTGGTTGATATTTATGTCAATAGACAGTCAATAGTTTGGTGAAGGAAAATACTATGACAAGGGAAAACAACATTTAAGGAGCACAGAACTTGTATACTACAGGTAGCCTGCATGTGAGTCTGCACTAGGCAATAAATAAATTTAAGCTTTGTTGAGGCTTCTTTGGGTACATACAATTCACGCCAGTTAAAGAAACATCTCTCATTGCCTGACAGAGATACAGTATAATTTGGTTTTATCAACTGAAAGTACAGTATTTTGTGGATCAATATAAGCTGCATATGTCTATAGTTGTAACCTGGTTATGACTGAGAAAAATCGTCAGTAGATATAACCTCGATCGACTGAAATTTGACATAATACTTTCACTGAATATAACAACTGTATATTTTACGAGGATTTTTCAAACTCCGAGGCTTCTTTTTTCTGCCGCTTTTCAATAAAGTACAACACCTGCTGAGCTTCTACAAGCTCCTTGTGAATAAAATACTTTCGTCCATGAGCTTCAAAGGTGGAAAATGCTCTATCGTCTGGGTATACAAAAATGTCATCAGCAGAAAATTCCACTCTTTTCCGCAAGGCAAGTAAAGATAGTGTCTCGACGGCGAAAATGTTTTCTTTTGGATTGAAGTCCATCTTGTGCACATAAGCTTTGGCTACAAAATGAAGTAAAGCAGTTGAACCAGTACCAATCGTACATAATAATAATACCGCGATTGTCTTCATTGCGGCCGAAGATGCTTGATTTCCAAAAAGCACCAACAATGGAGAACAAACTAAGGTCGACGCTGCTGTAGTCAGGGAAAGCAATTTTACAAGTTTGACTGATCTGGAGATTGGACCTTCATAGACAGTTTTCCACTCGCTTGATGAATCATTCAGATACCGGTATTGCCAGCTTGCCGGCCGCAGGAAAGACTTAGTCCTAAGTAACATATCCTGGTTCACATTCGCTGCACTCAAATGCTTTATCCACCTGATTGTGTCTAAAGATCTGAAGTTTGATAGTCGAAATGACACCTTCCTTGCTAAAAAGCACAACATAGTCAGTGACTGGTAAACTGGTCGACCGCAGTAACTCGCTGTGTTCAATGTTAACACGTGCACTTGGAAAGCCGCTGACCTGCCACAATATTATCACGTGATAGGCTTTAAACCAATGAATGTAGAAATTTCGTCCGCCATTCTCGAGTAGGATGGAGACCGATGAAACATGTTATTCCTTTATCGTTAATGGTTGTGAAGAAATCTTGGGATGTTTTGGTGCTAACTATTGATTCGTTTTGTTATTGATTCGCTTGGAGTTGACTCGGTAAGTTATGATTCGGTTCATGGTCCACGTTATATAGCTTACATTTCACTTGTTAATCTGAATGATTTACATGGTTGGAAAACATGGTTTGTCGTTTCCGTTTCAAATTGTTATTTATTTCTGGTTGTAGTCGGTTGTGTCTGTTTGCTTGGGGTTGATAGCTGCGTGTGATTTGTGAGGTTTGCTTTTAATTTGGCGGACTACTAATTGGATGTGGTTCCACTACAGCTTTTAGATCAAGTTAATCACAACCATTTAATTATTATATTACAGCTGAAAATTTGCGTGTCTTCCAGCTGCTAGTGGATCATGGACTGAAAAACGCCAAGAGAAATGAATTTGTGAAAACTGGCTTCCGATTCAATTTTAACTTTAAGGGTTACGTTTGAAATTTTGTTTACCAAACAATTATTTTGGGTTAGTTAAACCTCGGACCAGTCAAACCTCGTGTCATACCATTGATCTGAATAATTATTCCAAATATTAGTATTAACCACGGCACTAAGAAAATATATGAGGTTCCTCTGATGATAGCTTCTAACCCTAGCCAGTTCTAACTTTGTTGTTGGATGCTCAAGCAAGTGAGCTGTAGAGCACTTGCTGGTTAACTAGGTCATGTACTTGGTTAGTCTTTGACACCTGTTCATCAGTATACATTTTCAAAAGCCAGAACCAGATGATGATTTGAGAACATAAAAGATGAATGATAGACCCAGTAAATTCATCGTGTCTTTAAATTTGACAACAAATGAACAGAAGGCCAAGATGTTAAGTGACAGTTATATTTCGGTACAAACTATACCATCATCAGACTGAAAATACATAGAAAATTAGGAGCTTAAATAGTTACAAAAGGTATACTCAGGAGAACACGCAAAGTTCTCTGCTGGATTTTAATCCATTGTTAAGTGATGGTGAATGGCGCTTAATGTGGAAGGCCTCTTTGTACAATAACAGGTTCCAATTATCGTCATAATCTAACACTGTGGTGTTATTCTGAACTACAATGATTGCGTATTCATTATTGCCAGAAGCAGTTGGTGTGATGATGTTATTGAAAGTATCCGGTAAATTAAATAAATTATGGATAAAGGTTAAATGTTCGCAAGTGCATAGATGTTTGTAAATCGCACTCTCTTTATCAGTTAAAGCATGTTCAGGTGTTGTGATGAGAAGGGTTCTATCTGTCAATGCATTTTCTCCATACTATTCTCCATACCCTTCCTGTGGTGCCAACAAGGAGAATTTGTTTAACAATCAAGAGCTTCTCTGATAGATGATTATTTCCGTTATTCTCCTGACCTTATTATGTTACTCAATCTTGAGTGATATTGTAAGGAGAAATTAGATGCTGTTCACTCAGTCAGGGGTCAAAGGGTTCAAAAGATATCAGAAAATTTTTTTTTGATTGAACACAATTGAAAATGTTTGATTGAGGTCATTAGTTTTTACTTTTAAACTCAACCATTAACACAATGCTCCAAAACTCTCTTGAGGCATTATAGAGGCTTAGAAAGTATTAAAAGATGTTTGTTATTCTAATGAAATTTCTTTTTGATTGTGGTTGCATCCATATGTAGTCTTCATATTGCAGAAGTGATATCAAAGATGTGTAACATCTTTTTAGCTACATGGTAGGCCCATTGTGATGTTTCACAGAGAGGTTGTTGAACCATGTCACTGATCTTAAGATAATATATAGGTTTAGCCAAGCCTTGCCTGAGACACCCCTCCCTTCATTTTGATAGTCTCCCCTACCCTACCCGTGCAATCTGAAGGCACGTATGTGGGTACACTCGGTCAGTCATGTGACAACCAAACGAAAAGAGGTTGACCGTGTTTCATGGGTAGGGGGCTCTGCCCCATGCGCACGTGGGAGCCCCGTTATAAACATTCTCATACCTCAATCACTTAGAGTCATGCAATCTTACTTTCTGATGACCGAAAAATTTCATGAATTTGACATAGGTCCAATGGACCCTGAACAAAGTCCTGTGTCAGTCCAGAATGATGACAACCACAGGAGTTTATTGCCATCAAGCTCCACGGAGGAATCATCTTGTTCTATGGCAGCAGAGGTCTCTGATTCTGATGGCAAGGAGAGCACTCTAGTGGAGAAAGTTCAGGAGATAGCATTAGACAGCAGCAGTAGTGTCAAGACAGAATGGACAACTTCGAGGGCAAGCATTCATTTAACAACAAGTGTACATAATAAGACTGGAGCAATGTTTGAAGAGGAAGAAGAAGGGGAACTTGATTATGAGGAGGATGAAGGAGAAGTACCAGGAGGCCAGGAGGATAAAAATGGCCTAAGAAATGATGTTGATGATGATAAAGAGGAGGGCGAAGTAGAAGATGATGAGCAAGATGAGGAGGGTGAAGAAGGAGAAATCCTCTCAGATGATGATGATGATGATAAGGTATTGGCTTCTACATTCCCAAGATCTTTATCTCAATCCTCGTTACTGTCTGTCATATGTTTCTCAACATATTGAGTCTGAGAATTAGGTGTTAATATAACTATATCCCCTTGTTGATATATTTAAAGTTTTTCCTACCCATCTGTGTGCGTGAGGTGTATTGATAATGTACTGCGAAATTACTCTCTTGTAACTATGAGGTGTGAAAAGGTTAGGAAAGTTCCTAGCCACAGATCTGATCTTTTGAATAAAACTCATTTGGCCACACATCCATGAATAAATTAAAAAGGAAGATAAGTTTGTTGAAAAAATGAGTATAGTAAATTTGAAAAAGAACAGTTGTATCATGGTGCAATTACTGTATTTCAGAGTAAGTTTGTGTAAGTATGTCTATCAAGATTTAAAGTTTGTTAATTGCTTTTCAGGTAAATGCAGAGAAAAAGCCTCAAGAACGAAAAGATTCAGCTAAAAATGAGGTAAGATAGGGAAGGAGAACTTAGTTATTACAAGTAATGCATAGAAAGTTTAAGTGAAGATATCAATTTCAGCAGTTTCTATGAAATGCTTTACTGAGTGAGCTAGTATGAGGCAAGGGTTCTGTCTAGAAAGAGATGCTGCTAGGGGTTATAATCATGGTTTTCATTTGTAAATGGAACTCGATGATTTCGGAATAACCAAAAAAAATGAATTTTCAAATACTCACTCCAGAGATCTGAAGTCAATTCTTGTAACTGAAGGCCATACATTTTAGTGGCCAATTTGAGTGAAATTGATTTTATAAAAGGGCTACACATGTACTTAGAAGAAGGTACATGTAATTTCTAACTTCTTATTAATTTTCTGCATGATCGTGTATTGAAATTGTAAAGATAATTTAGGCATTGATCACTCCTTGCAGTCATGGGGTTAATGAATAACTTCACTTAAATGCTTACTCTCTTTAATGTTTTTTTGTTAGGCTGATGGCCCTGAAGAAGGAGAAGTGATTGATGATGGAGACTCCATGGGTAATTGAAATGGAATGTTGTGATTCAATTCGTGTTTTTTTTGTTTTGTTTTGTTTTGTTTTATTTTACATACACTGACAAAAGGATTTTTAAATCTGACATTTCTGAAATATGCTGTGAAGGGTGAAAAAACTGGAGATGTGGCAGACAGTTCTTGATTGGTAAAATTTAGCCCCAGGAAAGGTCAAAATTGTGGGGTTTTTTTTAATGTTATTTATTCCCTATATATTTTTTTTTACCATTTACCTTCCAACAAATACATTAAGAATTTCCCAGAATTTTTCACCTTATCTCTGCAGTTTTACTGATATGTAATCTTGTTACCTCTAATTTTAGGTGCACCAGTCCTAAGAACAAAAGTATGCAGATATTTTATGTATGGTAAGTTTGCTAGGCTGTATTGCCCACTCAATGTTCAAAAAAACTGTAAGGAAAAGTGTTATTATCTTTCAGTTGACTATCCCCCAGCAGTATTTTGAGTACAGAGCATGCTTACTTGTATGGTACCAATTACTTGGCATCGATTGGTATGTCAGATTTTTAGTGTACAGATCTTACTTTCATTAGTATCATTCCATAGTTTTTGCTTGCATCACAACCCAGATATATTCTCATATTGCTTTTCTCTTGCAGGTGGTTGCACATGGGGAAATTCCTGCAGATTTCTTCATCCTGGTCATAATGATAAAGGTATGGTAAAGAACTCGGTTTTACTGTCTCTTGCATCCTCAGTAATTGTGGAAATGCATGCCAAAAGGAGGATTTAAGGTGACAGAGAACCCCAGTATTGCCTGCTCACTTGTCAGGTTTTGCCACCTGTGCTCAATTCCATTGTGCACCAAAAGAAATAGGAGTGGTAGAAGAAGTTGTATTTGTTTTGAGAAATAGAAAAAGAAAAAGATAATTTTGTTTCAAATGCAGTCCTTTATTGTCCAAAAAAAGAAGCACTGGAACTACTATTAATATCGATGGTATTGACAGGTGCCTATCAAATGCTCCCTGAGCCTGGCCAGTACCCAAGCCCCTTCCCCAAAGTACCAGCAGTTGTTCCTCCCATTCATCCTGATGCTATGTTGGCTTCATTACCAGACCAAGATCTTGGACAGATTGTAAGTTTTGTCCCCTTGCTACTCAAAATTTCATTTGAGACTATTTTATGTCAAAGTTGAAGCATGAAGTTCACAGCAACTGCAAAGGACAAGGATGATCTCTGTTGTAGCTCACTTTGCTTAAATCAACCCTGTGTAAAACATACATATCTTATTAAACATTCTCTTGTGTAGTATCACTGAGTATGACAATAAGTACAAATACTCAGTGATACTACACAACAAAATG